CACCGCTACGACTCCCCGCACCGCTACGACTCCCCGCACCGCTACGACTCCCCGCACCGCTACGAATCCCCGCACCGCTACGACTCCCCGCACCGCGCGCCGCTATGACTCCCCGCTCCGCTACGACTCTCCGCTCCACTACGACTCCCCGCAGCACTACGACTCCCCGCACCGCTACAATTCCCCGTACCGCGCAACTCGCCGCAACCCGCAATTCCCCTCCCCGTGACTCCCCGCGTGACTCGCCGCTCCGCAGGTGGCGCCGCCGCGCCATGATTTGCTACCATAGCCATAGACCAATGTATGTGATATTGATCCGTTGGTTTGGCTCCCCATGTAAAGCTTTAGCTCGGTATGTAGGGGGCGCTAAAGAGCCAATGTAATATTTTACACCTTCAGGTGACCCAGGCCCAGGAGTAGAACAACTGGGTCAAGTTTAGTACAAATCAAACTTTGTTTGTGCAAACGAGAGGTATTTTTCTATCGTCAAAAAAGGTCACTATTTGCCGCTCCACTGCTCGAACATCGTTTCCCTGATAAAAATTCCCTGAAGTCATTTTGAAGGTAAATGTGTTGAAATGATGTGGAGCGATTTTCAGGCGAATCTGTGAAACGGCCGAGGAGGAGTCGCTTCCCAAACGACATGTGTGAAAATTATTGTTGTTCGTTTATCCATTTTGCAGTGAAATTTATGGGCTCCCTGTCTGTCAGAGGGCGGGGCCATAATAACATTTTTTTCATGTCTTACCTTGAGGAATATGTGTACCAAATTTCATGGCTCTACGGCAAACTTGAACTCCAAAACTCTCATAGGAGTATTAAATTGGCTGTTGTAGGGGGCGCTGTTCTGGCATTTTAATTATTTCACTTTCAAATGACCTACACCCTAGAGTTTAACCATGAAAACAAGTTTTGTGCAAATCGGACTTTGTTTGAGTAAACGGAAGTAATTTTTCTATACTCAAAAACTAAAAAAAAAACGCCACTTTTTGGCGCTTCGCTACTCAAACAACGTTTCACTGATCAAAAATCGCTGAAATCAAAATGATGGTACATGTGTTTAGACGATGTGGAGCGATTTTAAGGCAAATCAGTGAAAAGGCCGAGGAGGAGTCGCTTTCCAACCAACATGTGTGAAAATGACATTGTGTAGGGGGCGCTAATGCCTCAATTTGATGTTTTACACTTTCAGTTTACCCAAACCCAAAAGTTGAACAACCAATTCAAATTTGGTGCAAATCGGACTTTGTATGTGCAAATGGTGGCTTTATTAGACTACAATTGCGCCCCCTACAACTTCAAATTTGAAGTCTCTTACTAGGGAACACAAAATTAATAAAGTGTTTGCAAGAACAGAACTTGTGGCAAAATTTTGTAAGTTTTCGTGCATGTTCAGTGGGTCAAATATGACATCAAACAACAGCAAACTTGTTCTTTCCCAGGTTTTCCTGGGCTAGAACAAGTATAATTAAAGCCGCAAGCGGCGTCGAACGGCCCTCGCCGCACCGCGCGACTCCCTGCACCGCGCGCACTCCCCGCACCGCGCGCACCACCCCGTGCCACGCCGCCCCGCACCAAGCCACCCCGCACCAAGCCACCCCGCACCAAGCCACCCCGCACCAAGCCACCCCGTCCTACACCACGCAGTCCCGAATCACACCAAGCCGCAACGCGCCGCTCCACAACGCCCTGCACTACGCTGCACCACACCGTACCACGCAGCACCGCGCAAAGGAGGTGGCACTGCCGTGTGATGATTTGTTCCCGTAGTCATAGAAGAATGCTAGTCAAATTGTAATGAATATTATAAGTAGAGCTGGTATGGCTCCCCATGTAAACTTTGCTTCAGTCTGTAGGGGGCGCTAATGGGCCAATTAAAAAAAATTCACATTCACCTGACCTAAACCCTGGAGTTGAACAATGAATTCAAGTTTAATGCAAATCAGACTTTGTTTGTGCAAACGGGAAAAAAAATAATGTTGTCAAAAACGGCCAAAAAAACCCTCACTTTTTGCCGCTGCGCTGCTCAAACAACGTTTCACTGATCGAAATTCCCTGAAGTCATTTTGATGGTACATGTGTTGAGATGATCTGGAGCGATTTTGAGGCGAATCGGTGAAACGGCCGAGGCTGGTTTGATGTTTGTGTGAGGTGTACATTTGCAATTAATGGGGAGCGTTTGTCGTCGCCACGGCAACAGGGTAAAAAATAAGCCTTGGACCCAATTGACTTTTTGAATCAAAACGGCAAAACAGATGTATGTGCAAAATTTCAAAAATTTTGAAAAAAATAAATTTGAAAATGCCCATTAAAAACTTTGAAATAGTCTGTAGGGGGCGCTAATGTGTCAATTTGAATCATTTAACTTTCAAATGACCTAGACCCTAGAGTTGAACAATGTATTAAAGTTTTGTGAAAATCAGACTTTGTTTGTGCAAACGGGAGCAAATTTAATGTTGTCAAAAACGGCCAAAAAAAGGTCACAATTTCCCGCTCCGCTGCTCGAACAATGTTGCACTGATCAAAAATCCCTGAGGTCATTTTGAAGGTACATGTGTTGAGATGATGTGGAGCGATTTTGAGGCGAATCGGTGAAACGGCCGAGGAGGCACGCAACCGTCACAATTTGGTGAGTGACGGGCGCTGACGCGTCCGTCACGCACCGCCACCATTTGTTTTCACCATTGTGAAAGCAATAGGCCCTTACCCCGTTCGGGGCTCGGGCCTAATAAAAACATCCAGCCGTCATGCTGTCATTAGAGCACGCCAAACTACTATTGTACTTTTATACAATATACAAATAAGGCGCCCAGGCTGCAGATACAGGGAGTAACTAATAACTAATAATAACAAACCTCTGATGTGTGTTCTGTGCCTGAGGATCTGTTCAACAGCAAAAAGAACCAGTTTTGTGACCGGCCTAAAAGTCTGTCCAAAAGGATAATCTGTGTTCATTGTAAATGGACAATATTATGTCTTGTGCTCAAGAAAAACAGGAATAATCTGTTTATATTTTTCTGTGCATAAAGCGTGAAAAACCTGCTAAAAATCTATATAAAATACTAGTAATAATAATAATTAGTTTTATTTCATGGCAATGACACCCAAGGACGCTTTACAATACAGTAAAAACACACACAATGTTAAAGGCACAGAATAGAACTGTCGATTCTCTGATCTGTGATTTAGGGATATACAAGAATAAATTAAATTGACGGTGAAAGATCTCACTGTGGGATCTGTGCCGCAGACATTCTTTGGGGAATAACGCGGTCATGTTTACAGAGCTCGGCCGACAGCTCTGTGAAGCCATAGTATGTTAATGAGCGGCGACAGAGCGGACCAGAGGCTGAACCGCAGACAGAGGGCCTCCTTTCAGTCGCTAATGGGCCCCGCACTTACACAAGCCTCACCAAGGAAACGGATGACGCAACCATCGCAAATGCATTCTGAATGAGCCGCGAGGACAAAGGTCAGAGCGGAAACTCCAAACACAAGGAGAGGAGGAGAGGTGCGAGGCCAAAAGGCACGACTACAGTAGTTTGCTTAAAGATGGTAAACCAACAAAAACAGACTTCATAATTTTTTATATATATATATCATGAAGTCCACTGTATTCTTGTGGATTCCTCCGACGGGCCATAGAGAATCTTTGTATTACTGCATAAAAATGACTGCAGTTTGAGAAAAATAGACAAAAAGTGAAGTCCTGTAACTTTGTAGAGAGTGCAACAAATCAGTAACAGAACTAAAAGAAAAGTAGGAAAATAGTTATTTGTTTTTTCTATATCAGACAAATGTAAGATGGAGGTTTTACACTGCAAAAAATACATTATGAGGTAATAATCACTTGAGTCGAGTGGTTTTTATCTTAGTTTGAGCACATTGTGACTTAAAACTAGATTCTCCAATGAGACAAAGTGAGTGAGTGAGAGTAATCCTGGAGTCACACACAGAGACCGACAGACACACACACACACACACACACACACACACAGAGAGAGAGACCGACAGACACACACACACACACACACACACACAGAGAGAGAGAGACCGACACACACACACACACAGAGAGAGACCGACAGACACACACACACACAGAGAGAGACACAGACAGAGACAGAGAGAGACCGACAGACACACACACACACACAGAGAGAGAGCCGACACACACACACACACAGAGAGAGACCGACAGACAGACACAGACACACACACACACAAACGGAGAGAGAGACCGACAGACACACACACACACACAGAGAGAGAGACACACACACACACACACACACACACAGAGAGAGACACACACACACACACACACAGAGAGAGACAGACAGACACACACACACACAGAGAGAGAGACCGACAGACACACACACACACACACACAGAGAGAGACCGACAGACACACACACACACAGAGAGAGACCGACAGACACACACACACAGAGAGAGACCGACAGACACACACACACACAGAGAGAGACCGACAGACACACACACACAGAGAGAGACCGACAGACACACACACACACAGAGAGACCGACAGACACACACACACACAGACACAGAGAGAGAGAGACCGACAGACACACACACAGAGACAGACACACAGAGACACAGACAGACACACACAGAGACAGACAAAGACACACAGACACACACACACAGAGACACAGACAAAGACAGACAGACACACACATAGACACACAGACAAAGACAGACAGACACACACACAGAGACACAGACAGACAGACAGACACACACACAGAGACACAGACAGACAGACACACACACACACAGACACACACAGAGACACAGAGACCTAACATGAGGTGAATAGCATCACTCCTAGCCAAGCTTTAAGTACTTGTCCTTAACCCACACATCCTCATGTGTAAGGGGCCGATAGAGCTGGGGCCCGTCCTGGGGCCCGTCCTGGGTCTGCTGTAGAGTACTGTCTGTGATCGTTCCTGTGGCTGAGTGAGACAGACCTTGGTGAAGGCGGCCCAGCTCTGGTGAGAGTAAACAAAGTATCCTCCCAGCGACGGCGTCAGCTGACTCCGGTCGACATAGTTTGCCAGTTCAAAGACGTCTTTGAGGAGAACTTTCTGGAAATCACAAAAAGAACCGTTACAGTGTGTGGTGGCGGCAGTCTAAGCAGAGACACACACACTTCTCTCCACACACACACACACACGTTCCCAGGCCTCACTGAGACACAGGCCCACCAACATTTCTAGGTCTTCCCCTGGTCTCCTTCTGGGGTAAACGCCTGGATCGCTTCCCCCAGAGAGACGTCCAGGAGACAAACAGATGCTAGAGCCGCCACAACTGGCTCCTCTCAACGGGAAGAAGCAGCGGCTCTACTCCGAGCTCCTGCCGTGTGACTGAGCTCCTCACCCTCTCCTTTCGGTCAAAGCTCACAACCCGAGGTAGGGGACAAAGATTGAGCGGTAAATCTACATCTTTTCACCATTTGAATAGATTATATTTACCTTAAAAGCCTGAGGTTTGGACTGGCCCCACAGTTTGCACAACAGACGAAGCACATCTTTTTTCTTCGGCTGAATTATATAAGCACTGTGAACGCTTTTCTGTTGCTGGAACGATAAAACAAAAACAATCAGAACAGCCGAGGAGATCATTAGCAAAAACTGATACATTTATTATGGAAATTTGTCAAAAAACGTGTTATCGTCAGTACATTGTAAAGAATATGCTCAAGGAACAGGAAAGGTTTAGCACTAAAATATATCTGGCTTTTCAGAAAACTAAGATAGAGATACTTTACTCATCCCACAAGATAAATGAGCAATAACTCAATGCTAACATAACATCTCTAGCTTTAGCAAAATAAAGAAGTCTTTCCTACATATTTCTACCTGTACCAATGTACCGTTCAGTTTCGCATGAATCCAAAACCGGTTTAATTCTAAGTTACACACACAGACTAGCTAACTGACTACATCACAAACCACTGAAACTCAAATGCAACCATGAGCGAGTGCATGTCCCATATAGTCAGACCCACCTGGTGTTGTATGGCTAAGCTCTGGCTAATATTAAATGTGCAGAAACAGTAGAATATTCATGTGATTACAACCTCCTGATCAGCTGCTCTACGACCGCCTTTAGCGCTTTGACCAGGAACAGGCGCCGCATTAACAACTGAACAATGGTTATGCAATAAAAAGTTGTTCTTCAGGCCAGGCAGACACTTGTAGAATGTAGTGTGGAAGTAGAGGATTAATGACTGCAGAGGAAACGACTTTTGGGCAAACACAGTGAAGCCGCAGGAGTCGTTCCCACCTCCACCGTCCACTCAAACCACACCGGCCACATTTTTCCCCAAACGCAAAACAGTCAAGAAGTGAAATGAGAAAGTACACGCCCAGGAGACAAAAAGAGCGCCACAAAAACTCTAAAAATGTCTATCCAAGTGCCAAGTTTTGCTCCAGCTTCCTCTGCTCCCATCGACTTATGAGAACTCTTCCAGCTCAACAGTTTGTGACCCATTTCGGCTTCAAAAAATATGCTTTAGTGCTCTCCATGATCCTGGCCAAAATCCAGATTTGAGCCAAATAAGGGTTGATTAATCAGATGCCTTCATTTGGGAAACTACAGCTCTCCTTAGCAACCATCTTAGCAACACATTTGCCTCGGCTACATCGCTAAGCTAACACCTCAGAAGAAATCCTCCAATAGAAGAAATATTGACCCCAGCTAGCTTAGATTCAAGTCCGCTTCTTCTGCATTAAGGCCAACACTACGACGACATCTCTCAGACTGTCCACTCTTATGCACTTTAATTGGGCCACTTAATGACGACAGACTAGGGCCCTTTAATGACGACAAACTAGGGCCCTTTAATGACGACAAACTAGGGCCCTTTAATGATGAAAATCTTACATATTGCTGTTTTAATACATTGACAGAGGTCTCAAACTTGGCTCTGGGACCGGGGTTTTGAAATCTGGGCCTGAGCCAAACCCTTCCTGGTCCTACCTCGAGCAGGAGCAGCGTCTCGGCGATGAAGCGAGTGGAAGATGCAGACGCTTCTCTCAGATCGGCCACGACAGAAACCAAACGGCTCCTCTTTGTTTTACTGTCGACAGAAGAACACACTTGTAACTTGTAGAAGAAGATTCCACGAAGACTCTGGTCGGACACTCACTGATGCTGCGAGAGACAGAAGGTTATGAAGTCCACCACCTCCGCTTTACTGAGGACCGTGGAGAGTCCGGACTGTGCTTCCACCGGGAACACCACCAGAGGACACCCCCGCTGGTCGAAGGCACCTGGAAGCCACAGAAGCAGAAGGAAAACGCCGGGATGAAGCGAGAGCAGCTTCAGTGACAGACTAATTCACCCTTGCTGTGTGAAGGAGAAGCAAGCGAGAGACATTACAAAAATTGCTATGAATCACAAAATAAATACTGGGTTTTACAGACTGTAGATGGACAATGCAAACACGCCAGGTCAATGAAGGCCAATAGGGAAGTGCTCATGGATGAAGATTTGCTCTAACTCGCTCTGGCTCCAATTGGCTTACGTCTATTGGCACTCTCGCTTCTCAGCAAGAAGGTCCTGGGTTAAAATCCGGGTAGGAACAGGGCCTTTCTGATTGGAGTTTGCATTTTCTCCCCGTGTCAGCGTAGGTTTCCTTCAGGTGCTCCGGTATCCCCTACCACTAAAAACATGTACAATAGGTCTGAATGTAATGAGAGAGAGATTGGAGAGTGTTGGCTTTGATGGTTCAGTGTTTTCTGGTCTCGCTTCCCGTGTGGAGAGAATGAAAAATATCTCCTTTTTTAAATTCTTTATCTTGAGGTCGACTTATTGTTTGTACTTTTACCTAACTGTGTTTGTGTGTTTCTTACCTGCCTTAGGACAACCGATGCAATTTAGCTAACGTGCTAATTCCAGCATATTTATGTTGACGCTGTTTGCAGACACAATGATTAATATGTACGGTCCTAAATTCAAATAAATAAATAAATCTTCGGGTCCCATCACAAACGCCCCGTCTGGGTTTTCGCTAGATGCGGCCCTGCACAGCTTAATAAGACACAGTGGCTGCCTTTCTGCGCATGCGTGCTCCAGGTTTTCATCCACTTTAGTTAAACTTTTTTGAATCATGCAACAAGGTACCTACCAGGGAATAATATCGCTCCGGAGAATAGGACGTGATCCGCGGGGACTTTGGCTGCAGGCTCCCGGTGTTGCTGCTCCCGGTCCTGCTGCTCCCGGTGCTGCTGCTCCCGGTCCTGCTGCTCCCGGTCCTGCTGCTCCCGGTCCTGCTGCTGCTGCTGCTGGAGCCACACGTCTGCAACACACACAGCCACAAGTATCAGGAGAATGTACAGTTTGACAATCACACGAAGCGAGACCACGTTAGTTACATGCATGCACTTTTAGAGGGAATAAAGAGCTAAAATCCACTTTCTACGTCTGCCGCAGAGACGTGCACTTGTCTCACCTGCGCTGCGCATGCTCATTCTGCACCTCAGCCTCGGGACATTTCTTCTTTACTTTTTTTTAAATATGACTCTTAAAAACGAGCCTCCCGCGATGGAACGAGTTCACGGTGATATTCGTCGGTGGAAAAGTCCAGAATTGTGGAAAAGAGGACAGACTTGTTCCGCCATCTTCAGCTCCAGCAGCGCCGCGGCTCTGAGGGGGGCCGTGACCAGAGCAGGCCGATTATCAGCTCTGAGGGGCGGGCTCAGGAGCTCCAGGGGGCGGGCTCAGGAGCTCCAGGGGGCGGGCTCAGGAGCTCCAGTGGGCGGGTCAGGAGCTCCAGAGGGCGGGTCAGGAGCTCCAGGGGGCGGGCTCAGGAGCTCCAGGGGGCGGGCTCAGGAGCTCCAGGGGGCGGGTCAGGAGCTCCAGGGGGCCGGCCTCTGTCAGACCTGTGTCTCTGTCTCTGTTTGAATGAATTCTGTTGTTTTGAGTTTGTCTTTTTGTGTTTCAAATGGATCCGTTTGAAACTCATTTTAAAAAGTTATTTGACAATATTCCAGCGCTTTCAATCAGTTTGGTGCTGGTTGTTTTAAAATACTGGGAAACTCTACAATTTATCTGAAGCAGGAAGGTGAAAGCCAGATCCTGTCAGACCTCAAAAAGCTAAGCAGGGCAATGCCGGGTCAGTAACGTGATGGACAGTTAACATGAATGATCCTGCTCCGTTTGGACCAATGTCTCTGTGTTTTTATCACTGCATTTCCTGATTCTCTGATCTGTTGTTGGCAAATCGACAACTTTGTCCTCCACAATCACTACTATTGACATTTAGGGCGATACAAGAATAAATGAATCTGAACAGTTGAAGTGACTTTTTCTCAGTAAACTGTAAATATGTTTTGACCTTTACCTACTTTACGCTTCTGTGCAAATAAACAAGAATCTTTAAGACTGAAATTAGGACAATCTGACGACTTGTGTTTAATATATTATAGATAATCAAAATAATTGTAATTATATTTTAACAAACCTGTTACTTCTGGCAACAACATTGAAGTGAATAATAAATCTGGACGTGCTTTGTCTCTGTGTGTGATTAAACGTTTCAGACCAGTCCGACTGCATGATTCACCGACACCTGAAACAGCAGCTTCAGTTTCCCTTGTACGATATAAGTGAGTCATGTTTATTTATATAGCGCCTTTCACAGACCAGAGTCAAAGCGGTTTACAATGGGGTTTTTTTGGGCTCCACTCAGAGATGGGAGGGGCCAGAACAGGAGGCGCAGACCTACTGTACATGTTTTTAGTGGTAGGGGAAGCCGGAGCACCTGGAGGAAACCTATGCAGACACAGGGAGAACATGCAAACTCCACTCATAAAGACCCTGTTCTGACCGTTGTTCTATCCTCTAACCCACAGGTAAAGGTAAGGCAAGGCAAGGCAAGGCAAGTTTATTTATATAGCACAATTCATACACAAGGCAATTCAAAGTGCTGAACAAAACAAGAAAGCATTAAAATCATAAATAATCACAGAACATTAAAAAGAAAGATACAAATATAAAATCCCTCAGTTGTAGCACAGCTAAACAGAACTGTCTTTAACCTGGTTTTAAACATTGTCAGAGGAGAAGAGAGAGAGAAGTCTCAGAAGAGAAAAGGCAGAACATGTGTAATGTTTTTCATGGGTTCAAATCCCTTTTCTGTTCGATAGAAGTTGTTAAATTAGTCAAGTTTATTTATATAACGTGATGATTTGAATTAAGTTTGTTATTTTCAGATCCACATTTGATTCAGAGATTCTTTTTACACAGAAACAAACTGATACTTTCATATTAAACCGATTTAAGGTGAAAACAGAGCATTTCATTTTTTCTTAAGTTTAATTTCTAGAAAAGAACCGTCATCGTCCGTTACACATTATTCAGGGTTATTCACATTTTTATTATTTTTAAATGATTTGTTTTTAAATAAAGTGATTTGATGTTGTTGTTGTGAATCTAATCTTGGACCTTTCATTGTCTGTGTGTTATGTTTGTATGTTGTTAGAACACATTTTGACTGTTTGGTCTGAAATAAAAAATATAATAAAAAAGCGATGACGTCTAAGATCGAGGAAAAACAGATTGTTTTGGTCGATTGTTGAAGAGTGAATTATGTGAGACTCCTTCTTCCTTCTGATGAAACTCCTGCTCCTGGTTCTTTCTGCCTGATCAGACGATATTAAGGAGCACAACAGTAACTTTCTCTGAGTTGGTTCACACAGAGGAATGTCGGAGGAGAAGGAGATGTTCTAAAACCAAGATAAAGGGAAACGATATGTGTGGGTTTGGCTCAAGTGCAGCTGTTTACGTCAAAAGGATTTACACAAAATAATAAAAACAAGAAAACAAGAGAAGCCCACGACAAGCATCGGTCTTGGTTCGATCAGTTATTTACAACTGAATAAAAACATCTCAAAGTTACATCAAAGAAGGAAAGTGCCAGGTGTAAAAGCACTGATCACATGAGACTTGTGTGTAACAGAGGCCGAGCCACCTCAGCTGGTTAGTGGAGAGGCAGCAGCTCTACTCCGAGCTCCTTGCCCTATCTCCAAGGGGGTACGTGAAAGCAAGATCCCATCAGACCTATGAAGCTAAGAAGGACAAGGACTGGTTTGTACTGTGATGGGAGACATTTGGGAACACCTGGTGCCACAGTGGGGACAGTGTAAAGTGCCAAACTGTACAAGACACTTCACACATGTTGCCAAGTGTGGTGTAAGCAGATACTGGTCCAGTCTGTGTGCCCCAGGGCAGCTGTGGCTGTAGTAAATAAATAGAATTATTGATCCCCGTAGGAGAACTTCAGGTGACGTGAAAGAGTCATATGAAGAATATTTTAGTGTCTTAATGTGCTGTAATTAAAATTATTTATTATCATTATTATTATTATTATCATCATTATTATTATTAAAAATAATAATAAACTGGTAGATACTATATTATAATTCTTTATGGAAATACTAATAATAACTTGAACGTGTGCTCGGAGAGCGCATACCCAGCCAACATACAGACACGTTTATTTTGAAATGTTCCGGTTTGGAACATTTGAAACCAGTCCGACCGGAAGTCGTTGTTGCCGTTAGCTTCATGTAGCATCCAGAGGCTAATGCTGCACATGTTATCACGACTGATCGGACTGAACCATGGATCTATGATCGTATCGGACTGAACCATGGATCTATGATCGTATCGGACTGAACCATGGATCTATGATCGTATCGGACTAGACCCACGGAACAAACAGCTGTGTTGTTCAGGGGGTTGTGCTGGTCCCAGAGGAGGAGCAGAGGAGCAGAGGAGCAGAGGAGGAGGAGAGGAGAGGAGCAGAGGAGCAGAGGAGCAGAGGAGGAGAGGAGGAGGAGGAGCAGAGGAGCAGAGGAGCAGAGGAGGAGGAGAGGAGAGGAGCAGAGGAGGAGCAGAGGAGGAGGAGAGGAGAGGAGCAGAGGAGGAGCAGAGGAGGAGGAGAGGAGCAGAGGAGAGGAGCAGAGGAGGAGGAGAGGAGAGGAGCAGAGGAGGAGCAGAGGAGGAGGAGAGGAGAGGAGCAGAGGAGGAGCAGAGGAGGAGGAGAGGAGCAGAGGAGAGGAGCAGAGGAGGAGCAGAGGAGGAGAGAGAGGAGCAGAGGAGGAGCAGAGGAGCAGACACACGGAGACATGCACCGTGCCCTCGGGAGGAGCGGGCTGGTCGGGCTCGCAGTGGGAGCCACGGCGGGTCTGGGGCTGTTGGCGCTCATCATTTACCGGGGGATGAGGAGGAGGTGCCCGGCTCTTTCAGCTCCAGCGGAGGAGGAGGTGACAGGGGAGAGGAGGCTGATGGACGGGCTGGAGGCTCAGGGTGAGGACCATGCATCTGTTATTACCATAGTCTTTAAATATTAATATAATCACTACACATACAGCAGCAGGGCCTCTCCTTCATACACTGCGGGTGAATAAGTCTGTCACTGAAACTGCCCTCCAGAACAGACAGTGTCCTGCAGGGGGCGATGTTAGTTTGTCCAGGACCCTCCTGTCCCCCACCTGCTGCACTGTGTCCAGGGAACAGCCTAGGACAGAGCTGGACTTCCTGATGTTCCAGCTTCTTCCCTCTCTGTGATGCTGCTGCTCCAGCACTTCATACAATAACTAGAGTGACCTTTAAGAGCCTCAGTCAGTTTAGTATTTACTTACTTTTTAGAGACAAAGTTAAGTGTACATTACATTCATGAATTTGACTGAACTTCTTAGATTTTTTGTCTTCTTCTTCAGTTCTTTATGACCTTACAATATGTTGAGCTTGGGACCGATCACCCCCATGACCTGCTGAAGCCCAGAGCTCCAGAACAGACTAACACTGTGTACATGTGTGTGCTGCAGAGATGGAAGCGCAGCAGCAGGCCCTCGCTGCTGTGGAGGCTGTGGTCCAGGGCCTGTCTCCAGACCAGCAGGTGGCGCTGAGGCAGCAGCTGGACCAGGTCCTGTGCTGTGTCACCTCTCTGCGCTCGGAGGTGGCTGAGCTGAGAGGGGGGCTCCAGGACATCGCTCTGCAGATCATCCAGGACGTCAAGTGAGGCCTCAGCGGGACCAGAACTGCTTTACATTCTCCTGTCCCTGTGCTACTATATCTGCGTTACTCTCCTGTCCCTGTGCTACTATATCTGCTTTACATTCTCCTGTTCCTGTGCTACTATATCTGCGTTACCTTCTCCTGTCCCTGTGCTACTATATCTGCTTTACATTCTCCTGTCCCTGTGCTACTATATCTGCTTTACATTCTCCTGTCCCTGTGCTACTATATCTGCGTTACCTTCTCCTGTCCCTGTGCTACTATATCTGCGTTACCTTCTCCTGTCCCTGTGCTACTATATCTGCGTTACCTTCTCCTGTCCCTGTGCTCATATATCTGTGTTACTCTCCTGTCCCTGTGCTCATATATCTGCTCCTGTCCCTGTGCTCATATATCTGCTCCTGTCCCTGTGCTCATATATCTGCTCCTGTCCCAGTGCTCATATATCTGCTCCTGTCCCTGTGCTCATATATCTGCTCCTGTCCCTGTGCTCATATATCTGCTCCTGTCCCTGTGCTCATATATCTGTGTTACTCTCCTGTCCCTGTGCTCATATATCTGTGTTACTCTCCTGTCCCTGTGCTCATATATCTGTGTTACTCTCCTGTCCCTGTGCTCATATATCTGCGTTACCTTCTCCTGTCCCTGTGCTCATATATCTGTGTTACTCTCCTGTCCCTGTGCTCATATATCTGCTCCTGTCCCTGTGCTCATATATCTGTGTTACTCTCCTGTCCCTGTGCTCATATATCTGCTCCTGTCCCTGTGCTCATATATCTGCTCCTGTCCCTGTGCTCATATATCTGCTCCTGTCCCTGTGCTCATATATCTGCGTTACCTGCTCCTGTCCCTGTGCTCATATATCTGCTCCTGTCCCTGTGCTCATATATCTGCTCCTGTCCCTGTGCTCATATATCTGCGTTACCTTCTCCTGTCCCTGTGCTCATATATCTGTGTTACCTTCTCCTGTCCCTGTGCTCATATATCTGCTCCTGTCCCTGTGCTCATATATCTGTGTTACTCTCCTGTCCCTGTGCTCATATATCTGCTCCTGTCCCTGTGCTCATATATCTGTGTTACTCTCCTGTCCCTGTGCTCATATATCTGCTCCTGTCCCTGTGCTCATATATCTGCTCCTGTCCCTGTGCTCATATATCTGCTCCTGTCCCTGTGCTCATATATCTGCGTTACCTGCTCCTGTCCCTGTGCTCATATATCTGCTCCTGTCCCTGTGCTCATATATCTGCTCCTGTCCCTGTGCTCATATATCTGCGTTACCTTCTCCTGTCCCTGTGCTCATATATCTGTGTTACCTTCTCCTGTCCCTGTGCTCATATATCTGCTCCTGTCCCTGTGCTCATATATCTGCTCCTGTCCCTGTGCTCATATATCTGCTCCTGTCCCTGTGCTCATATATCTGCGTTACCTGCTCCTGTCCCTGTGCTCATATATCTGCTCCTGTCCCTGTGCTCATATATCTGCTCCTGTCCCTGTGCTCATATCTGCTCCTGTCCCTGTGCTCATATATCTGTGTTACTCTCCTGTCCCTGTGCTCATATATCTGTGTTACTCTCCTGTCCCTGTGCTCATATATCTGTGTTACTCTCCTGTCCCTGTGCTCATATATCTGTGTTACTCTCCTGTCCCTGTGCTCATATATCTGCGTTACCTTCTCCTGTCCCTGTGCTCATATATCTGTGTTACTCTCTCCTGTCCCTGTGCTCATATATCTGCTCCTGTCCCTGTGCTCATATATCTGCTCCTGTCCCTGTGCTCATATATCTGCTCCTGTCCCTGTGCTCATATATCTGCTCCTGTCCCTGTGCTCATATATCTGCTCCTGTCCCTGTGCTCATATATCTGCTCCTGTCCCTGTGCTCATATCTGCTCCTGTCCCTGTGCTCATATATCTGCTCCTGTCCCTGTGCTCATATATCTGCTCCTGTCCCTGTGCTCATATATCTGTGTTACTCTCCTGTCCCTGTGCTCATATATCTGCTCCTGTCCCTGTGCTCATATATCTGCTCCTGTCCCTGTGCTCATATATCTGCGTTACCTTCTCCTGTCCCTGTGCTCATATATCTGCGTTACCTTCTCCTGTCCCTGTGCTCATATCTGTGTTACCTTCTCCTGTCCCTGTGCTCATATATCTGCTCCTGTCCCTGTGCTCATATATCTGTGTTACTCTCCTGTCCCTGTGCTCATATATCTGCTCCTGTCCCTGTGCTCATATATCTGTGTTACTCTCCTGTCCCTGTGCTCATATATCTGCTCCTGTCCCTGTGCTCATATATCTGCTCCTGTCCCTGTGCTCATATATCTGCTCCTGTCCCTGTGCTCATATCTGCGTTACCTGCTCCTGTCCCTGTGCTCATATATCTGCTCCTGTCCCTGTGCTCATATATCTGCTCCTGTCCCTGTGCTCATATCTGCGTTACCTTCTCCTGTCCCTGTGCTCATATATCTGTGTTACCTTCTCCTGTCCCTGTGCTCATATATCTGCTCCTGTCCCTGTGCTCATATATCTGCTCCTGTCCCTGTGCTCATATATCTGCTCCTGTCCCTGTGCTCATATATCTGCGTTACCTGCTCCTGTCCCTGTGCTCATATATCTGCTCCTGTCCCTGTGCTCATATATCTGCTCCTGTCCCTGTGCTCATATATCTGCTCCTGTCCCTGTGCTCATATATCTGTGTTACTCTCCTGTCCCTGTGCTCATATATCTGTGTTACTCTCCTGTCCCTGTGCTCATATATCTGTGTTACTCTCCTGTCCCTGTGCTCATATATCTGTGTTACTCTCCTGTCCCTGTGCTCATATATCTGTGTTACTCTCCTGTCCCTGTGCTCATATATCTGTGTTACTCTCCTGTCCCTGTGCTCATATATCTGTGTTACTCTCCTGTCCCTGTGCTCATATATCTGCTCCTGTCCCTGTGCTCATATATCTGTGTTACTCTCCTGTCCCTGTGCTCATATATCTGTGTTACTCTCCTGTCCCTGTGCTCATATATCTGTGTTACTCTCCTGTCCCTGTGCTCATATATCTGTGTTACTCTCCTGTCCCTGTGCTCATATATCTGTGTTACTCTCCTGTCCCTGTGCTCATATATCTGTGTTACCTTCTCCTGTCCCTGTGCTCATATATCTGTGTTACTCTCCTGTCCCTGTGCTCATATATCTGTGTTACTCTCCTGTCCCTGTGCTCATATATCTGCTCCTGTCCCTGTGCTCATATCTGCTCCTGTCCCTGTGCTCATATCTGCGTTACCTTCTCCTGTCCCTGTGCTCATATATCTGTGTTACCTTCTCCTGTCCCTGTGCTCATATATCTGCTCCTGTCCCTGTGCTCATATATCTGCTCCTGTCCCTGTGCTCATATATCTGCTCCTGTCCCTGTGCTCATATATCTGCTCCTGTCCCTGTGCTCATATATCTGTGTTACTCTCCTGTCCCTGTGCTCATATATCTGTGTTACTCTCCTGTCCCTGTGCTCATATATCTGTGTTACTCTCCTGTCCCTGTGCTCATATATCTGTGTTACTCTCCTGTCCCTGTGCTCATATATCTGTGTTACTCTCCTGTCCCTGTGCTCATATATCTGCAGAAAGGGGGTGGAGGACTCTCAGCGCAGCCGCAGACGTCGGCCTCACGTTCCCAGAGAGCGCCTCGACTCCACCACCTCCAGCTCCGTTTACTTCACGGCGAGTCAGGAGGGGGGGGGCGTGACCAGCACCTACGAGACCAGCGAGGGGGGGTGAGTCCAGCGAGGGGGGGCGTGACCAGCACCTACGAGACCAGCGAGGGGGGGTGAGTCCAGCGAGGGGGGGGTGAGACCAGCACCTACGAGACCAGCGAGGGGGGGTGAGTCCAGCGAGGGGGGGCGTGACCAGCACCTACGAGACCAGCGAGGGGGGGTGAGTCCAGCGAGGGGGGCGTGACCAGCACCTACGAGTCCAGCGAGGGGGTGAGTCCAGCAAGGGGGGTGAGACCAGCGAGGGGGGGCGAGTCCAGCACCTATGAGACCAGCGAGGGGGGGCGTGACCAGCACCTACGAGACCAGCGAGGGGGGGTGAGTCCAGCGAGGGGGGGCGTGACCAGCACCTACGAGACCAGCGAGGGGGGGTGAGTCCAGCGAGGGGGGGCGTGACCAGCACCTACGAGTCCAGCGAGGGGGGGTGAGACCAGCGAGGGGGGGTGAGACCAGCGAGGGGGGGTGAGACCAGCGAGGGGGGGTGAGACCAGCGAGGGGGGGCGTGACCAGCACCCTACGAGACCAGCGAGGGGGGGTGAGTCCAGCGAGGGGGGGTGAGACCAGCGAGGGGGGGCGAGTCCAGCACCTATGAGACCAGCGAGGGGGGGCGTGACCAACACCTACGAGACCAGCGAGGGGGGGGGTGAGACCAGCGAGGGGGGGTGAGTCCAGCGAGGGGGGGTGAGTCCAGCGAGGGGGGGTGAGACCAGCGAGGGGGGGTGAGACCAGCGAGGGGGGGCGAGTCCAGCACCTATGAGACCAGCGAGGGGGGGGGTGACCAGCACCTACGAGACCAGCGAGGGGGGGGTGAGACCAGCGAGGGGGGGTGAGACCAGCGAGGGGGGGTGAGTCCAGCGAGGGGGGGCGAGACCAGCGAGGGGGGGCGAGACCAGGGTGAACCAGCGAGGGGGGGTGAGACCAGCGAGGGGGGGGTGAGACCAGCACCTACGAGACCAGCGAGGGGGGGGTGAGTCCAGCGAGGGGGGGTGAGACCCAGCGAGGGGGGGCGAGTCCAGCACCTATGAGACCAGCGAGGGGGGGGTGAGTCCAGCGAGGGGGGGTGAGACCAGCGAGGGGGGATGAGTCCAGCACCTACGAGACCAGCGAGGGGGGGTGAGTCCAGCGAGGGGGGGTGAGACCAGCGAGGGGGGGTGAGTCCAGCACCTACGAGACCAGCGAGGGGGGGTGAGTCCAGCGAGGGGGGGTGAGTCCAGCACCTATGAGACCAGCGAGGGGGGGTGAGTCCAGCACCTACGAGACCAGCGAGGGGGGGTGAGTCCAGCGAGGGGGGGTGAGACCAGCGAGGGGGGGTGAGTCCAGCACCTACGAGACCAGCGAGGGGGGGTGAGTCCAGCGAGGGGGGGTGAGTCCAGCACCTATGAGACCAGCGAGGGGGGGTGAGTCCAGCACCTACGAGACTAGCGAGGGGGGGTGAGTCCAGCACCTACGAGACCAGCGAGGGGGGGTGAGTCCAGCACCTACGAGACCAGCGAGGGGGGGTGAGTCCAGCGAGGGGGGGTGAGTCCAGCGAGGGGGGGTGAGTCCAGCGAGGGGGGGTGAGTCCAGCGAGGGGGGGTGAGTCCAGCACCTATGAGACCAGCGAGGGGGGGTGAGTCCAGCACCTACGAGACTAGCGAGGGGGGGTGAGTCCAGCACCTACGAGACCAGCGAGGGGGAGTGAGTCCAGCGAGGGGGGGTGAGTCCAGCGAGGGGGGGATGAGTCCAGCGAGGGGTGTGAGTCCAGCGAGGGGGGGGGGTCCAGCGAGGGGGGGGTGAGTCCAGCGAGGGGGGGTGAGACCAGCGAGGGGGGGTGAGTCCAGCGAGGGGGGGTGGGTCCAGCGAGGGGGGGTGAGTCCAGCGAGGGGGGGTGGGTCCAGCGAGGGGGGGGTGAGTCCAGCGAGGGGGGGTGAGTCCAGCGAGGGGGGGTGGGTCCAGCGAGGGGGGGTGGGTCCGCCGGTCCCACAGTACCTCCAGAGGACCATGTGTCCTGTCAGTCTTTTTCAGTCTTTTGAGGAAACTAAATGTGTTTTTGTTCCAGATTCAAATCAGAAATGTGTCAATAACTGTAGGATCCAGAAGTATTATTATTAATAAGTTATTATTATTATTATTATTCTTTTTGACATCCAACAGCATATCTATTGTGTATTGTTTTCCCTGTTTTGACGACAGTATTTAAGAACCATAATTATCATCGTGTTAAATGGTCAGATTTGGACCCGGGCGTTTCTCTGCCTCTGGAGGGTGAAGGAGAAAGATCGCTCTGTCACTGGAGCTTAAAGGACAACTCACCCTCAAATCCACTTTTTTTTGCTGATAAACGGTATAAATGAGTGTCCAATAGTGTTGTCTACATATCCTGGTCATAATCTTGTCACTTTGGTGCAAATTAGTTGAAAGTTAGACTTTCTGCCTAAAACCGTCTGTGAGGCGCCATCTGCTGGCGACCTGTGTTACTACATTTGAATTTTGAATCTGGCGCCAACACTGGCACAGAAGTTGGACCTGACGTCAGCAGCCCCCCGCCCAGAGCAATGTAAACGGCCCAGTCTCGTTCACGCCCCCTTTAGTCCTCCAGGCCACGCCCATTTAGAGGAAGATTTGAACAGGAAATGTGAGTAACGTAAGCTCCGAGGAGCGGGGGTGAGAACCACTTTAAAGGAATCAATGATAAATCTCCTCTGAGTCTGAGTCTGAGTCTGAGTCTGAGTCTGAGTCTGGGTCTGGGTCTGAGTCTGGGTCTGAGTCTGGGTCTGGGTCTGGGTCTGAGTCTGAGTCTGGGTCTGGGTCTGGGTCTGGGTCTGGGTCTGGGTCTGGGTCTGGGTCTGGGTCTGAGTCTGGGTCTGGGTCTGGGTCTGAGTCTGGGTCTGAGTCTGGGTCTGGGTCTGGGTCTGAGTCTGGGTCTGAGTCTGGGTCTGAGTCTGGGTCTGAGTCTGAGTCTGGGTCTGAGTCTGGGTCTGAGTCTGGGTCTGAGTCTGGGTCTGAGTCTGGGTCTGAAGCCCAAAAGCACTGAAATGATGAATAAGTACCTTTTAAACTGTGCTGTAAAACATTGTGATGTCACATAAACATGTGACCTCTCCAGATACTCCACCGCCAACGCAGAGTCGGACTACACAGACCGAGAGACGGACCGCGAGGAGACGGACCGCGAGGAGACGGACCGCGAGGAGACCGAGCAGAACGAGGAGCAGGACTCTGAGGGAGAGGACCAGAGCTGTGCCACTGTCATCACTCTGAAGCACGACGACTCTCAGGACGAAGACCTGGGGGAAGAGACGGGAGCCACGGGGCAGGACGGCCACCAGAGGGCGCTGCAGCTGCTCACAGAGGCCCCCAGTGGAGAGCTATCTCTGCTGCTAGCTCAGAGCGACATCCTGCACACGGGAGACTCCCGGCTACAAGAGGAAGGACACAGGCTACTGCAGGACAACAGGCAGGAGGTGAGCTACTGCGGTGAGCTACTGCAGGACAACAGACAGGAGGTGAGCTACTGCAGACAGGAGGAGAGCTACTGCAGGACAACAGGCAGGAGGTGAGCTTTTGCAGGACAACAGGCAGGAGAGCTACTGCAGGACAACAGACAGGAGGTGAGCTACTGCAGACAGGAGGAGAGCTACTGCAGGACAACAGGCAGGAGGTGAGCTTCTGCAGGACAACAGGCAGGAGAGCTACTGCAGGACAACAGACAGGAGGTGAGCTACTGCAGGACAACAGGCAGGAGGAGAGCTACTGCAGGACAACAGGCAGGAGGTGAGCTACTGCGGTGAGCTACTGCAGGACAACAGACAGGAGGTGAGCTACTGCAGACAGGAGGAGAGCTACTGCAGGACAACAGGCAGGAGGAGAGCTACTGCAGGACAACAGACAGGAGGTGAGCTACTGCAGGACAACAGGCAGGAGGTGAGCTTCTGCAGGACAACAGGCAGGAGGTGAGCTACTGCGGTGAGCTACTGCAGGACAACAGACAGGAGGTGAGCTACTGCAGACAGGAGGAGAGCTTCTGCAGGACAACAGGCAGGAGGTGAGCTACTGCGGTGAGCTACTGCAGGACAACAGACAGGAGGTGAGCTACTGCAGACAGGAGGAGAGCTACTGCAGGACAACAGGCAGGAGGAGAGCTACTGCAGACAGGAGAGCTTCTGCAGGACAACAGGCAGGAGGTGAGCTACTGCGGTGAGCTACTGCAGAACAACAGACAGGAGGTGAGCTACTGCAGACAGGAGGAGAGCTTCTGCAGGACAACAGGCAGGAGGTGAGCTACTGCGGTGAGCTACTGCAGGACAACAGACAGGAGGTGAGCTACTGCAGACAGGAGGAGAGCTACTGCAGGACAACAGGCAGGAGGTGAGCTACTGCAGGACAACGGGCAGGAGGTGAGCTACTGCAGGACAGGAGGTGAGCTACTGCAGGCAGGAGGAGAGCTACTGCAGGACAGGAGGTGCGCTATTGCAGGACAACGGGCAGGAGGTGAGCTACTGCAGGACAGGAGGTGAGCTACTGCAGGACAGGAGGTGAGCTACTGCAGGACAACGGGCAGGAGGTGAGCTACTGCAGGACAGGAGGTGAGCTACTGCAGGACAGGAGGTGAGCTACTGCAGGACAACGGGCAGGAGGTGAGCTACTGCAGGACAGGAGGTGAGCTACTGCAGGACAGGAGGTGAGCTACTGCAGGACAGGAGGTGAGCTACTGCAGGACAACGGGCAGGAGGTGAGCTACTGCAGGACAGGAGGTGAGCTACTGCAGGACAGGAGGTGAGCTACTGCAGGACAACGGGCAGGAGGTGAGCTACTGCAGGACAGGAGGTGAGCTACTGCAGGACAACAGGCAGTGAAATGTTTTGAAGCTGCAGCAGATTGTCAGAACAGGATTAGGAACAACAGAATAACAGACTAGCCTGGTCTTACCACACCATAGTACAAATTACATTTCGTACTAAGTTCTGGATTTGCTCCATTGACTCCGTGAACAGGTGGGAGGGGCTAACTCCTTTTGCAGATTGAAACCATTGGATCTGAGTTTACCGTGACGTATGTAATGAGCCCGAGTCTGTAGTTAGCCTTTAGCCTAACTTTAGCCATCTCCTTTGCCGCTAACTGAGCCTGTGGGGAGTAGCGCCACAATCTTTTCCAGAGATTACATTTGCTAAACATTCCTCTTGCTCCAGCTTCAGTTTCTTGATAGAACCAGAGCAGAATACTTTACTGTCACATTCTTTGCCAAACTACAACCTTCCCGTTTGGCGAAAGCTCTTGACATCACCCACAACTAACTACAACACCCGCCTCCCGCGCTCTCTGATTGGTCGGTCGAAATTCAACAGATTGTAATCGCAAACACAGGGACCAGACCCAGACGTTACCTGCAGGACATGATGATTGACAGGAGAGTACAGACAGACAGAGTTAGGGCTGGTTTAGGTTCATGGTTTCAGGAAAGAAACTCCTCCTCATCCTCCTCTGGGATCTCAAAACACTGTTTGTTTGTGCTCAGTATGAAGAAAACCGTGAGTTTGTTTGTGCTCAGTATGAAGAAAACCGTGAGTTTGTTTGTGCTCAGTATGAAGAAAACCGTGAGTTTGTTTGTGCTCAGTATGAAGAAAACCGTGAGTTTGTTTGGCGTCTGGCCCGCGCTCACAGCGACATGTTCTGGTGCGAGGCCGATCCTCAGAGACGCAGGGACTTGGCACAACAAGGTCAGTCTAAACCTGAAGAATACAGTGCTACACAGATAATGTTAACACAATAAAAGTCAATAAAAACAAATTGATAAAATGAAATATTAAAAATGACAAATTCAGGAAAATGAAGCAGAGTAAAAAAAGTTTGTGAACAGTTAAAGGTTGTTTGATAAAAGTCATTTAAAAGGTCCTGGAGCTCAGCGTGGTTCACTGGGTCGTAACTGAAGAACTGATCACAGATAAAATCATCTACAATATAAGAATAATATATTTGTATGTTGTAAATGTTGTATTTGTGTCCAGGTTTAGAGGAGGCGGAGCTTGCTCTTCAAAAGAACGGACTAAACAAAGACTGCCATAAATGGTGAGAGGAAACGGGCTCTTTCACTTCTGATGCTGAGCTACGAGCTATTGTTGTTCCGTTTCCAGTAACTCTGCGTCCTGCTCCTGCTGTGTTTATGAGAACAGCAGAGAGACCTTTTTATTTGATGAGGACAATCGTTATAAAATATTTGCGTTAAAACACCTCGTCAATAACTCAATCTAGTTTAAACAGTCGTAGTGTTTCTCAACCTGAGGGCCGTGGCACGTCCGTGGGCCGCTCGTGATGACTCTCACCTGTGGTCAAATGAAATGTTTTGTCGCAGGTTTGCTGTGTTGGCAAATTTAACGGACGATGGGAACATGCACAGCAAACTCAGAAGCCTCCGCATCCTGAAGGTACTGCAGAGCGCCCCCTTCAGCCCACACTGCAGAACTACAACACTTTTTGTTTTCTCAGGAGCACCTGGACCAGGCCCTGGCTCTCACCGACACCGACCCTCTCTGCTTCTTCCTGCTCGGAAAGTGGTGCTACCAGGTCTTTGTGGAAACCTTTCAGAATCTGAGTGTTTTCACAGACTGTATTTTAGGAGTGGACTGAGGTGAAGCTGAGTTTAGCTCGAGACCATTTCCTTATTTGGGCAGTTGTTCCGACTGGGGTGAGATGTTTGCTAATGGTTGAATTACCCTAGGAATGTGATTGGTCAATCCTTAAAGATGAGATAAACCTGTAATCATAATTATCTTTGTGAGAAACAGGAAGTCACAAACTAGGAAATTGCTTTGGCTCTCGGTGCAAACAAAACATAAAAGAAACTAAGAAAAATACATAATATTTTTAAATTCACTACTATATACAACTGGACTGAGTACGCTTCAAAGTCTATAAATGTCTGCTCCCTCAGTCTCTCTGAAATAAGAGAGCTCAGGTTATGTACACGTCAAACAGGATTTATTATTTAAAATGATTGATAATAAAGTATTAAAATGGTAAGATAATAAACTAATTTCTCATATCTTGATGTTTTCAGAGACATTATCAAAATATAAACACCAGGATCATAGACTGATGGCAGTTACTGACTTAGAGGCTTCTTTGAGCTAGCTGGTTAGCATGCTACGTCTAAATACAGTCTGTTTATCTCACACAATGCTTCCATGTGGCGGTGACAGGTGGCGACTCTGGACTGGCTGGAGCGGAAAGCCGCAGCTGCCCTGTATGACTCCGCCCCCAGCTCCTCTCTGCAGGAGGCGCTGCTCAACTTCATGAAGGTACAGGTTACTGCTCTGTTCAAACATGTGTTCTCCATTTGGGACAGAAACCGGACCCTGATCAGAAGTCTCCATCCCCCAGTAGCCAGTGTAGCCCTTTAACATCTAACCCGACTCGACTCGACCCTAGACATTAAATGGACCAAAATAGACTATTCTACTTGGCTCTACTCTACCTGGTTGTTTCCATGGTACTTGAGTACGGTATCTGGTACTGTGTCCCACCAACAAACCTACAACCTACCCCGTTTGCATGTTCTTTCTGTGATGCGTCGGTTGCCTCTGGGTGCTCCGGTTTCCCCTACCTCTAAAAACATGTACAATAGGTCTGTGCCTCCTGTACTAAGGTAAAGGTGAGGTCTCCGTAGGGCAATTCCTCCTCTGCATTTGACCCAAATCCTGATGCCACTAAGGCTTACGTCTGGAGCAGTGGTCGCCGTAGTAACAGCGCCCAGGAACCCATCTCCAGATGTTGATGCTCGGCTTGGTCAGGACCAGAGCTGGAGGATTTAACCAAGTGAGCATGTTTTTAATGGTAGGGGAAACCGGAGGAGCACCCGGAGGAAACCCACGCAAGCACTGGGAGAACATGCAAACTCCACTTAGACCCTGTTCCGACCGGGATTCAACTCAGCCACCGTGCCGCCCGCTCCTGGCCCTGCTCCCATCTCTGAATTCCATAACCCAGACAGCAGCGCTCACTGTCAGACACTTCTGTACCAGCTCGGCCTGAACCAAGAAGGGACTAAAAAGTACTAAAGAGTACTTGTTATACATACTGGTACAGCAGCAACATGAACCACTTTGAATATTAATAATGATTACTTACTTAGTGTGATCTCGGTCTGTTGTATTAATAATCGATCAGTCACATGACTCCTGTGTCTTTGCTGAACAGGCCGAGGAGCTGAGTCCAGGGTTTTCAAAGACCGTCAGGCTCTACATCGCGAAGGTGAGTGACTTTGGGCGCCTTCATTTATTTCTCTGGTTCACTTCAGGAAAAAGGCTTTGTAGAACCAGACAGAAGCACAAAGTGAAGCAGAGAGCGCCCAAAGTGAAGCAGACAGAGCCCAAAGTGAAGCAGACAGAGGCCAAAGTGACCCAGACAGAGGCCAAAGTGAAGCAGACAGAGGCCAAAGTGACCCAGACAGAGGCCAAAGTGAAGCAGACAGAGGCCAAAGTGACCCAGACAGAGGCCAAAGTGACCCAGACAGAGCCCAAAGTGAAGCAGACAGAGGCCAAAGTGACCCAGACAGAGGCCAAAGTGAAGCAGACAGAGGCCAAAGTGACCCAGACAGAGGCCAAAGTGAAGCAGACAGAGGCCAAAGTGACCCAGACAGAGGCCAAAGTGAAGCAGACAGAGGCCAAAGTGACCCAGACAGAGGCCAAAGTGAAGCAGACAGAGGCCAAAGTGACCCAGACAGAGGCCAAAGTGAAGCAGACAGAGGCCAAAGTGACCCAGACAGAGGCCAAAGTGACCCAGACAGAGCCCAAAGTGAAGCAGACAGAGGCCAAAGTGAAGCAGGCAGAGCCCAAAGTGACCCAGACAGAGCCCAAAGTGAAGCAGGGAGAGCCCAAAGTGAAGCAGACAGAGGCCAAAGTGAAGCAGACAGAGCCCAAAGTGACCCAGACAGAGGCATAAATCTCCACCTGTATCGTGTCCTTGCTGACTGGAGTTGTATTCTAGAGCCATCAGGGACTGGGGAACGTCTCTGAGGCTTCAAAATGGATGAACCTGGCAACGCAGACCGCGCCCACGTCCGCACAGGCGAGTCTGAGATGGAGCCGAGCAGATCTTTGGGTGAATTCTAACCTTGTGTATTTTTCAGGATGAGGAAACGTCAAAGATTCTGGATTCAAAAACCCCAAATTCTACCAAAACTTAAGTGTTATGAAGACTTTGTTCGACGTTTATTCCTTTTTGCATCTTTCCCCACGATCGGAACAACTTTCAGAGCATTTTGGAAGTGCTTATGTATATTTTTGCTCTTCATAACTTTCTCTTTATTTGTATTTTGTATGAAATTCTTTGGTGAAAATGTGAATAGTTCTAACTCTCAGAGCAGTCATTTTGGTCGCTTGGGTTGGCATAGCAACACTTTATAACTCAACACTTTGACAAGTTTCTGCATTAACTTGAAGTAAATATTAAATATTGCTTCATTTGAATAAAACGTTCCCAGTAATTTTGGGTTTTCTCAGCATTACCTTAAAGACCTCATGACCTTAGGTCTTTAATTCGAAAAGGAGCCAAAATGACTGCTCTTGGGAGGTCCTAGTGAGGTCCTAGTGAAGGTTATTTAAACAAAATCCTATGAAAAGTATTTTGTATGTTTCACTGTGAGCTCTTTAACTAATCATTCCAAACAAGATGCAGATTAAAACATTTATCACACTGTACAGAAAAACAGTCACGGAGCTTTTTTTCACATCGATGCAAATTATACAACTTTGAAAATGATACAATAAGAACTCAGACTTTACAAATATATTGACAAAGAATCCAGAGACGGATACAAAAAAAGTAAATTAAACAGTTTCACAGAAGGTCTCTCTGTTCTCGGTCCTGGGGCTCTCTCTCTCTGGTCTCGGTCCTGGGGCTCTCTCTCTCTGGTCTCGGTCCTGGGGCTCTCTCTCTCTGGTCTCGGTCCTGGGGCTCTCTCTCTCTGGTCTCGGTCCTGGGGCTCTCTCTCTCTGGTCTCGGTCCTGGGGCTCTCTCTCTCTGGTCTCGGTCCTGGGGCTCTCTCTCTCTGGTCTCGGTCCTGGGGCTCTCTCTCTCTGGTCTCGGTCCTGGGGCTCTCTCTCTCTGGTCTCGGTCCTGGGGCTCTCTCTCTCTGGTCTCGGTCCTGGGGCTCTCTCTCTCTGGTCTCGGTCCTGGGGCTCTCTCTCTCTGGTCTCGGTCCTGGGGCTCTCTCTCTCTGGTCTCGGTCCTGGGGCTCTCTCTCTCTGGTCTCGGGGTCCTGGGGCTCTCTCTCTCTGGTCTCGGTCCTGGGGCTCTCTCTCTCTGGTCTCGGTCCTGGGGCTCTCTCTCTCTGGTCTCGGTCCTGGGGCTCTCTCTCTCTGGTCTCGGTCCTGGGGCTCTCTCTCTCTGGTCTCGGTCCTGGGGCTCTCTCTCTCTCTGGTCTCGGTCCTGGGGCTCTCTCTCTCTGGTCTCGGTCCTGGGGGTCACTCCTCCTCTGGTCTCGGTCCTGGGGGTCTCTCCTCCTCTGGTCTCGGTCCTGGGGGGGTCTTCTCCTCTGGTCTCGGTCCTGGGGCTCTCTCTCTCTGGTCTCGGTCCTGGGGGTCACTCCTCCTCTGGTCTCGGTCCTGGGGGTCTCTCCTCCTCTGGTCTCGGTCCTGGGGGGGTCTTCTCCTCTGGTCTCGGTCCTGGGGGGGTCTTCTCCTCTGGTCTCAGTCCTGGGGCTCTCTCTCTCTGGTCTCAGTCCTGGGGCTCTCTTTCTCTCTCTGGTCTCGGTCCTGGGGGGCTCTCTCTCTTTCTCTGGTCTCGGTCCTGGGGGGCTCTCTCTCTTTCTCTGGTCTCGGTCCTGGGGGTCTCTCCTCCTCTGGTCTCGGTCCTGGGGGTCTCTCCTCCTCTGGTCTCAGTCCTGGGGCTCTCTCTCTCTGGTCTCGGTCCTGGGGGGCTCTCTCTCTTTCTCTGGTCTCGGTCCTGGGGGGCTCTCTCTCTTTCTCTGGTCTCGGTCCTGGGGGTCTCTCCTCCTCTGGTCTCGGTCCTGGGGGTCTCTCCTCCTCTGGTCTCAGTCCTGGGGCTCTCTCTCTCTCTCTTTCTCTGGTCTCGGTCCTGGGGCTCTCTCTCTCTCCTCCTCTGGTCTTGGTCCTGGGGGGTCTCTCTCTGGTCTCAGTCCTTGGCATCTCCGACCCCGTCTGGGTTGATGGCAAACATGGCCTCAGCCTCCGGTAAACACGGAGAGTCGTAGATCTTACATATCCGGGTCTCTCCACGACCTTTTCTTAAGTAGAGGCTGTAAACATGAAACAAGGTTGAGTTGGTCTTTCTTCAGAGCAGCCACAAGAGGGCAGTGTTGAACCTGGACTGAGCTGAGACATGTGAGGGAAGAAGACCATCTCCGTGAGTGCCCCTGGAGAACGTCTTCATAGAAAGGACTTGTTTGATTAAAAACATTTTAGAATGATCCAAGAGTCGCAGGCTACGATTGTCTTATCGTTTATAATCATGTGTCTAAATGTAGTTTCCCACATCACAAAAGTAACCACTGAAGAAACCAATTTTGTGGCTCGAATGTGTCAAAATGACTTATTTAAGTGAAAACAATGAACATATTTTTATGACACCCAAAGATGTGTCACATTTACTCCATACACAGTTGTGAAACTACAACGATAGCCACAGCTGCCCTGGGGCATACTAACAAGCCAGGCAGCCGCTCATTCTAGGCAGTGTGGGTGAAGTGCCTTATGGACACTGGTGTTCCCAGAGGTCTCCCATCACAGTACTAACCAAGCACTGTCCTGCTTAGCTTCATCTGTTGGGATCTGGCCTTTATCACCCTTCAGTAGAAGATTCCAGAACTCACCGAGTGGTGGAGGCATGAGCCAGAATGTTTCCTCCAATTGGTTTTTTGGGATCTGCAGAGAACATGGCCGCTCCGTCCACCTGTGCGACCACCTGGTTTGAGATGACCACGGCCACGCCGAACTGGACACACACAAGTCAGAGCACTTTAACCACGGCCACGCCGAACTGGACACACACAAGTCAGAGCACTTTAACCACGGCCACGCCGAACTGGACACACACAAGTCAGAGCACTTTAACCACGGCCACGCCGAACTGGACACACACAAGTCAGAGCACTTTAACCACGGCCACGCCGAACTGGACACACACAAGTCAGAGCACTTTGAACCCTTCAAAGTGCTCTGAACTACAGCAGCACAAACTACATTATTTATTTATTTATTGATTTATTTGATAGGGACAAGTGCACACAATCAACATGTGAAACACTACAACATTTATAGCCAAGGCTAGTTTGCAATGTCCGTCCCTAGGAGGGCTTTTAACACAATTAAAACCCCTCCTAGGGCTTTTAATTAAAACCAAAATAAAAGGATTTCAACTTTTATTTTGGTTTTAACCCATGTTTTATCCTCAGGTCTATTTAAAAAAGATAAAAATACTCCTAATATAATTAGGATCTAAATGAGCCAGAGCAGGTCAAGTTAGAATTCAGCTCAATAAAAATATTTATGGTTTTTACATCACTTTGGCGGAAACAGAACAGATTTAAACACAGTTTTGTGACTGATAAGAGTCATGCTGTAGAACGATGACATGTAGTCATTCTTTTCAAATAAAAAAGTAAAACACTTTATGTATAAAATAAATCTTTAAGTCTGTCATGGATTATATTCTGTAGTAACTTGTTTCACGAGAGCCTCACCTCGTCCGCCAACCGCAGCAGCATCCGCAGGAAACGGCCCAGATGTCCTTGTCGCGCAGACAGCTCACCGCGGCCGGAGTAATCTGTTCTGTACAGAGCCGTGGCACTGTCCACGATCAGCAGCGCGTATCTGACACAGACACACGGGAGTCACGGACCAGGACTCGGACCAGGACTCGGACTCGGACCAGGACCCGGACCAGGACCCGGACCAGGACCCGGACCAGGACACTCACCTGGACTCTGCCATCATGGCCGACGCCTGGTACAGCAGCTGCGTCTGATGGTCCGTGTTAAAGGCCCGAGCGTACGCCACATTGTCCAACACGTCACTGCCAACCAGGCCGTACCTGTCCAAACCAGGTTCAACAAGGTCAACAAGCATAACCTATAGTGGTTCGATTCTGTTCAGTGTCGCAATATTTTTCACTCGCAATTAAATCGATTAGGTCTATTTGGCCCAAGTCTAATTAAGAATAAATAATGTTTTAGATCTGAGGTTTATGTTCCTACATGAGGTCTGCTGTTTGTGACTAGTCTCTGGTATTTGACTAATGTCCGTGATGGGAGCTCGTCTTCATCAGTCTGATAATGTGTTTGCTTTGCTCTCCTTTTGTGATGTTTAGAATCGCAACAAACAACTGTGACCCAAATATCACAAAACCATCACCAATTCCAACTTCTATAAACAGGACCATGACCGAGGACCATGGGACCCACCTCTCAGCCACAGCCAGCAGCCGCTCTGGTCTGAAGGTGCCCTCAGTGTCGATGTACATGGCTTTACCTTCTCCTCCGCCTTGGTCGATCGGGAGCTACACAGACATGATGTTTAGACCCAATGTTCCCACTCACATATTTACATACAGTACTTTACTTGGTTTACCTGACATGTTACAGCCAGAGTGTGACAGAGCTGGGTTTTTCCAGTGCGGAACTCTCCAAACATCTCAGTGATGGACCCGGTCTCGATGCCACCTGGAGGAGACACAGGGCATTTTTAATTAATTTGTAAATCCCTGAATCACCATGGAATCTCAAACAGTTCTAACAAATGAAATTAAATAATAACAATGGGGAGTGAGAGGACCAATGTTCATAAATGTTCATAAATGTCACTGTCCTTAGACCCTCCTGCACTGAAGAGGAAAAAAGTGAGAAACTTTGGGGAGGCCCACTTTGAGAGAGGGATCCAGACAGACTGCTCTACAGACTATTTCAAATACAATTTTAATTATTTATTGAAAGCAAACACAGGAGAATCACAGTTGTTATTACCACAAAAACTTATAACAAAATTAAAAATATATATAATACATTGGCAGTTATTCTATACCTTCATAGTCTTTTGAACTCCTTTAATGCACTTTCCATTAGAATCCTGCTTTTCCTGCTCACCTTGTAGCAACTTGTCCAGTTCCTTGGAGCCAGTAGAAATCTGAATGATCTCTGCTCGTCGCTGGTGGAACTCTGTGGCTGTGGTGAAACCCATTGGCACAAGTTTGGCTGCTTCCGTCTGAAAGAATTCATTAAAAGATCATTATCAATCAATGTTATATTTATAATTATTACACTGTTTCTCACGCACAATAATCTTGTCTGCCTTGGCCTCACTAATGCCCTTGATGGTGATCAGTTCTTTCTTGGGGGCGTAGGCCACAGCCTCGATGGTGTGGAACCCGGCGTCCTCCAGCTTCTTGATGTCACTCGCACTGATCCCACTTTGCTGAAACAAATGTAAATAAATCAGTCTAGGATGTATTCTAACTCACACTGTTGTGATCGTGTGGCAGGGCCTGAAAGGATCAACACTATATGGACTTATGTCTCAATAACTGATGGATAAAACTATACATTATCAATATTTCACGACTGTACATTTTCTTTCCAAAAGTAGAGACATTTTACCATTATGATGTAGCTGTAGAGGTTCAGTATGACTAAGAAAACAAACCTGCAGGAGGATTAGTTACACACATATAAAAGGTGGGGTCCCAACTATATTTTTCACAACATGTACATGATATATTTCCCAGAGAAAGAGTCATGTAAAAGAAAAACATTGTGAGAAATAAACTGTCTTTTATTGATAGAAAAAAAATTATATATAGTTAAAGAAAGGGCTGTGACGCTCTGTTTGATGCTTTGGTTGTGATTGGCTCCTTTTCAATTTGGTCTGATAAATCTCAAAAATACATGCATGTGATAGTTAGTTACAGGACTGCACTGTTTTGGGAGCGAGGGACTCGATACATGGATTTCAAAGTTAGGTACCCCACTTAAAGAACCGTGTGTGTGGTAGGTTTGTTCATTACCTCCAGTCTGGCCAGAGGCTGTGGCCCAAAGCTCTCCTCCTCTTCCACCGCCTCAGCCTCCACTCGGGCATCGCTCCTCATAGCCATGGCTCACGGAGGATCCTGCAAACACACAAGCACCAGTCATGACGGGAGCTGTTGTCATCCCCCCCGCCCCAGCCCCAGCTCCAGCTCGTGGTACCCAAGACGACACCTAAAACCCGGGGGGACAGGGCCTTCTCTGGGGCTGGACCAAAACAGTGGGACGCTCTCCTCTCATACTCTACCTGCTTCTTCTGAGGAGTGTTTTAGAACCCATTTTTGTTCTGGCTTTTAACACTGCGTAAGTTGCATGGTCCTTTTATATATATTTTCTCTGTTACGTTTCCATGATTCCAAACTTCCCAAACGCCCATCGTTAGCATTAGCATTAGCATTACAGTGAGCAGGACAAAAACATAAACAACACCCGCTGTAGTAAACTGTCTAAAGTATGTTCAGGAACACGGTGAAACTAAACGAGACAATAAAGTGAAATGTCTTGTTAGCTGTGTTTACCTCGGCTCTGGCACAGACCTGATCCGAAGCTCCCGCGCAGAAAGCACCACTGACAACGCAGCGTCATACGTCACTACGTCACTACGTCATAACAACTACGTCACCGACACCGGCTGTGGGCGGGTTTGTAATCATGTGGAATTAATTACTTACTATAAGATTATATCACATCTTACTTGCCACTATGTCGAGATAAGAAGTCGTTTGATGTAAATGTTGTATATATGTAAATTTAATACGTTTAATAATAATAATAATAATAATAATAATAATAATAATAATAATAATCTCGTGAAAACATGCATATTATGACATGTTTATTGCTGGTCTCATTCTTTCATAATATAATAATAAAATATAATATTAGAATAGAGCCATTAAACTTAGTTGCATTTACTTGCGTCAAATACGTTATAGATTTTCTGTGTGAAATGTTTAATGTCTAATGCAAAGACAGTATAATACAATTGTAATAAAGGTTCTCCTATCTTTTATTAATATATTTCTTTATTTTCTATCTTCTGTGTGGCGACTGAAGATTACGTCATCACGCCGCGCCTAGAATGGGAAACGTGTTTTTGTTGATTTTTCATTTCGTGTCCAATTATCTCGTTATTAAAACAGAGCAATGAGTTTGTAAACACAGGTGTTAAAATACTTTAGCATTTACGGAATAATGTCGTTATTCGTCGTGAACAGGTAAGACACTCAGAGAGTTTATCAAACGATGCCTTGTGATTAAATGTAATAAACTTTCAGATATCTTGGCGACGAAGATGGAAACGAAAGTACAGAAAGTCGGTCCCAGACGTTACTTGCAAAACTTAAGGAGAAAGCCAAGGCTCGACAGAAGTGCAGCACTGATCCTACACCATTAGAAACAGACATAATAACAAAGAAAAAGCCTAAAAAGAAAAGGAAAAATAAAGAGGTTGAAGAGAGTAAAGACAATGTGGAAGAGCCGGGAGAGGATGTAATGCAAAAGAAGAAACGGTGTATAGAAAAACCTCCAACTGGTGAGTTGAACATGTGTTTTACATGTGGGAAAGTTGTTTTTAATCCTTTAGAATCCTTGTTTCAGAACAAGCTCCAGCTTCTCGGACTGAGGAGGAAACCAAAGACTCTCTACCAACTCCAGAGAAGCCTCCTGCCCCTGGGTTCCCTGCCCCTGGGTTCCCTGCCCCTGGGTTCCCTGCCCCTGGGTTCCCTGTTCTTGGGGGATTTTCCACTAAAGACGTACCAAAGGTAAGACTATGAACAGAATGTGCTTTATGTTGACCATTCTGTCTCTATAATGACATTCATGAGTGTATGATGTGAACAGGTGAACAGAGTGTTGCCGCAGTGGCTCGCTAAGCCTGACCTCATTCATCAAAACATAAAAGAGCATCTCCATCCGCTCAGTGACGTCCTCTGCCTTCACCTGCTCAAGAAACTGCAGAACAATAACATCCAGCACCTGTTCCCAGGTATCTCTCCACAGACAGAGCCCTGGATAAAACACATGTTTATTCTGTCCTTATGTCCACAGTGCAGGCAGAGGTGATCCCAGCCGTCCTCCAGAGCAGTCGACAGGGGCTGTGGGGGGGCCCTGGGGGCCACAGACCCAGAGATATATGTGTGTCAGCTCCCACAGGCAGTGGAAAGACCTTAGCCTTTGTCCTTCCAATTATTCAGGTAAATATTATAATAAACGACATCATGGAGGAACGTGGCCAATGCAGAGGATGTAAGTGTAGGTGTGTCCAGGTGCTGATGCAGAGGATGTAAGTGTAGGTGTGTCCAGGTGCTGATGCAGAGGATGTAAGTGTAGGTGTGTCCAGGTGCTGATGCAGAGGATGTAAGTGTAGGTGTGTCCAGGTGCTGATGCAGAGGATGTAAGTGTAGGTGTGTCCAGGTGCTGATGCAGAGGATGTAAGTGTAGGTGTGTCCAGGTGCTGATGCAGAGGATGTAAGTGTAGGTGTGTCCAGGTGCTGATGCAGAGGATGTAAGTGTAGGTGTGTCCAGGTGCTGATGCAGAGGATGTAAGTGTAGTGTGTCCAGGTGCTGATGCAGAGGATGTAAGTGTAGGTGTGTCCAGGTGCTGATGCAGAGGATGTAAGTGTAGGTGTGTCCAGGTGCTGATGCAGAGGATGTAAGTGTAGGTGTGTCCAGGTGCTGATGCAGAGGATGTAAGTGTAGGTGTGTCCAGGTGCTGATGCAGAGGTAGAGTGTAGGATGTATTGTGTGTCCAGTGCTGATGCAGAGGATGTAAGTGTAGGTGTGTCCAGGTGCTGATGCAGAGGATGTAAGTGTAGTGTGTCCAGGTGCTGATGCAGAGGATGTAAGTGTAGGTGTGTCCAGGTGCTGATGCAGAGGATGTAAGTGTAGGTGTGTCCAGGTGCTGATGCAGAGGATGTAAGTGTAGGTGTGTCCAGGTGCTGATGCAGAGGATGTAAGTGTAGGTGTGTCCAGGTGCTGATGCAGAGGATGTAAGTGTAGGTGTGTCCAGGTGCTGATGCAGAGGATGTAAGTGTAGGTGTGTCCAGGTGCTGATGCAGAGGATGTAAGTGTAGGTGTGTCCAGGTGCTGATGCAGAGGATGTAAGTGTAGGTGTGTCCAGGTGCTGATGCAGAGGATGTAAGTGTAGGTGTGTCCAGGTGCTGATGCAGAGGATGTAAGTGTGTGGTGTGTCCAGGTGCTGATGCAGAGGATGTAAGTGTAGGTGTGTCCAGGTGCTGATGCAGAGGATGTAAGTGTAGGTGTGTCCAGGTGCTGATGCAGAGGATGTAGTGTGTAGAGTGTGTGTCCAGGTGCTGATGCAGAGGATGTAAGTGTAGGTGTGTCCAGGTGCTGATGCAGAGGATGTAAGTGTAGGTGTGCCAGGTGCTGATGCAGAGGATGTAAGTGTAGGTGTGTCCAGGTGCTGATGCAGAGGATGTAAGTGTAGGTGTGTCCAGGTGCTGATGCAGAGGATGTAAGTGTAGGTGTGTCCAGGTGCTGATGCAGAGGATGTAAGTGTAGGTGTGTCCAGGTGCTGATGCAGAGGATGTAAGTGTAGGTGTGTCCAGGTGCTGATGCAGAGGATGTAAGTGTAGGTGTGTCCAGGTGCTGATGCAGAGGATGTAAGTGTAGGTGTGTCCAGGTGCTGATGCAGAGGATGTAAGTGTAGGTGTGTCCAGGTGCTGATGCAGAGGATGTAAGTGTAGGTGTGTCCAGGTGCTGATGCAGAGGATGTAAGTGTAGGTGTGTCCAGGTGCTGATGCAGAGGATGTAAGTGTAGGTGTGTCCAGGTGCTGATGCAGAGGATGTAAGTGTAGGTGTGTCCAGGTGCTGATGCAGAGGATGTAAGTGTAGGTGTGTCCAGGTGCTGATGCAGAGGATGTAAGTGTAGGTGTGTGTCCAGGTGCTGATGCAGGAGATGATTAAGTGTAGGTGTGTCCAGGTGATGCAGATGCAGAGGATGTAATGTAGGTGTGTCCAGGTGCTGATGCAGAGGATGTAAGTGTAGGTGTGTCCAGGTGCTGATGCAGAGGATGTAAGTGTAGGTGTGTCCAGGTGCTGATGCAGAGGATGTAAGTGTAGGTGTGTCCAGGTGCTGATGCAGAGGATGTAAGTGTAGGTGTGTCCAGGTGCTGATGCAGAGGATGTAAGTGTAGGTGTGTCCAGGTGCTGATGCAGAGGATGTAAGTGTAGGTGTGTCCAGGTGCTGATGCAGAGGATGTAAGTGTAGGTGTGTCCAGGTGCTGATGCAGAGGATGTAAGTGTAGGTGTGTCCAGGTGCTGATGCAGAGGATGTAAGTGTAGGTGTGTCCAGGTGCTGATGCAGAGGATGTAAGTGTAGGTGTGTCCAGGTGCTGATGCAGAGGATGTAAGTGTAGGTGTGTCCAGGTGCTGATGCAGAGGATGTAAGTGTAGGTGTGTCCAGGTGCTGATGCAGAGGATGTAAGTGTAGGTGTGTCCAGGTGCTGATGCAGAGGATGTAAGTGTAGGTGTGTCCAGGTGCTGATGCAGAGGATGTAAGTGTAGGTGTGTCCAGGTGCTGATGCAGAGGATGTAAGTGTAGGTGTGTCCAGGTGCTGATGCAGAGGATGTAAGTGTAGGTGTGTCCAGGTGCTGATGCAGAGGATGTAAGTGTAGGTGTGTCCAGGTGCTGATGCAGAGGATGTAAGTGTAGGTGTGTCCAGGTGCTGATGCAGAGGATGTAAGTGTAGGTGTGTCCAGGTGCTGATGCAGAGGATGTAAGTGTAGGTGTGTCCAGGTGCTGATGCAGAGGATGTAAGTGTAGGTGTGTCCAGGTGCTGATGCAGAGGATGTAAGTGTATGGGTGTCAGGTGCTGATGCAGAGGATGAAGTGTAGGTGTGTCCAGGTGCTGATGCAGAGGATGTAAGTGTAGGTGTGTCCAGGTGCTGATGCAGAGGATGTAAGTGTAGGTGTGTCCAGGTGCTGATGCAGAGGATGTAAGTGTAGGTGTGTCCAGGTGCTGATGCAGAGGATGTAAGTGTAGGTGTGTCCAGGTGCTGATGCAGAGGATGTAAGTGTAGGTGTGTCCAGGTGCTGATGCAGAGGATGTAAGTGTAGGTGTGTCCAGGTGCTGATGCAGAGGATGTAAGTGTAGGTGTGTCCAGGTGCTGATGCAGAGGATGTAAGTGTAGGTGTGTCCAGGTGCTGATGCAGAGGATGTAAGTGTAGGTGTGTCCAGGTGCTGATGCAGAGGATGTAAGTGTAGGTGTGTCCAGGTGCTGATGCAGAGGATGTAAGTGTAGGTGTGTCCAGGTGCTGATGCAGAGGATGTAAGTGTAGGTGTGTCCAGGTGCTGATGCAGAGGATGTAAGTGTAGGTGTGTCCAGGTGCTGATGCAGAGGATGTAAGTGTAGGTGTGTCCAGGTGCTGATGCAGAGGATGTAAGTGTAGGTGTGTCCAGGTGCTGATGCAGAGGATGTAAGTGTAGGTGTGTCCAGGTGCTGATGCAGAGGATGTAAGTGTAGGTGTGTCCAGGTGCTGATGCAGAGGATGTAAGTGTAGGTGTGTCCAGGTGCTGATGCAGAGGATGTAAGTGTAGGTGTGTCCAGGTGCTGATGCAGAGGATGTAAGTGTAGGTGTGTCCAGGTGCTGATGCAGAGGATGTAAGTGTAGGTGTGTCCAGGTGCTGATGCAGAGGATGTAAGTGTAGGTGTGTCCAGGTGCTGATGCAGAGGATGTAAGTGTAGGTGTGTCCAGGTGCTGATGCAGAGGATGTAAGTGTAGGTGTGTCCAGGTGCTGATGCAGAGGATGTAAGTGTAGGTGTGTCCAGGTGCTGATGCAGAGGATGTAAGTGTAGGTGTGTCCAGGTGCTGATGCAGAGGATGTAAGTGTAGGTGTGTCCAGGTGCTGATGCAGAGGATGTAAGTGTAGGTGTGTCCAGGTGCTGATGCAGAGGATGTAAGTGTAGGTGTGTCCAGGTGCTGATGCAGAGGATGTAAGTGTAGGTGTGTCCAGGTGCTGATGCAGAGGATGTAAGTGTAGGTGTGTCCAGGTGCTGATGCAGAGGATGTAAGTGTAGGTGTGTCCAGGTGCTGATGCAGAGGATGTAAGTGTAGGTGTGTCCAGGTGCTGATGCAGAGGAAGTGTAGTGTAGTGTGTCCAGGTGCTGATGCAGAGGATGTAAGTGTAGGTGTGTCCAGGTGCTGATGCAGAGGATGTAAGTGTAGGTGTGTCCAGGTGCTGATGCAGAGGATGTAAGTTAGGTGTGTCCAGGTGCTGATGCAGAGGATGTAAGTGTAGGTGTGTCCAGGTGCTGATGCAGAGGATGTAAGTGTAGGTGTGTCCAGGTGCTGATGCAGAGGATGTAAGTGTAGGTGTGTCCAGGTGCTGATGCAGAGGATGTAAGTGTAGGTGTGTCCAGGTGCTGATGCAGAGGATGTAAGTGTAGGTGTGTCCAGGTGCTGATGCAGAGGATGTAAGTGTAGGTGTGTCCAGGTGCTGATGCAGAGGATGTAAGTGTAGGTGTGTCCAGGTGCTGATGCAGAGGATGTAAGTGTAGGTGTGTCCAGGTGCTGATGCAGAGGATGTAAGTGTAGGTGTGTCCAGGTGCTGATGCAGAGGATGTAAGTGTAGGTGTGTCCAGGTGCTGATGCAGAGGATGTAAGTGTAGGTGTGTCCAGGTGCTGATGCAGAGGATGTAAGTGTAGGTGTGTCCAGGTGCTGATGCAGAGGATGTAAGTGTAGGTGTGTCCAGGTGCTGATGCAGAGGATGTAAGTGTAGGTGTGTCCAGGTGCTGATGCAGAGGATGTAAGTGTAGGTGTGTCCAGGTGCTGATGCAGAGGATGTAAGTGTAGGTGTGTCCAGGTGCTGATGCAGAGGATGTAAGTGTAGGTGTGTCCAGGTGCTGATGCAGAGGATGTAAGTGTAGGTGTGTCCAGGTGCTGATGCAGAGGATGTAAGTGTAGGTGTGTCCAGGTGCTGATGCAGAGGATGTAAGTGTAGGTGTGTCCAGGTGCTGATGCAGAGGATGTAAGTGTAGGTGTGTCCAGGTGCTGATGCAGAGGATGTAAGTGTAGGTGTGTCCAGGTGCTGATGCAGAGGATGTAAGTGTAGGTGTGTCCAGGTGCTGATGCAGAGGATGTAAGTGTAGGTGTGTCCAGGTGCTGATGCAGAGGATGTAAGTGTAGGTGTGTCCAGGTGCTGATGCAGAGGATGTAAGTGTAGGTGTGTCCAGGTGCTGATGCAGAGGATGTAAGTGTAGGTGTGTCCAGGTGCTGATGCAGAGGATGTAAGTGTAGGTGTGTCCAGGTGCTGATGCAGAGGATGTAAGTGTAGGTGTGTCCAGGTGCTGATGCAGAGGATGTAAGTGTAGGTGTGTCCAGGTGCTGATGCAGAGGATGTAAGTGTAGGTGTGTCCAGGTGCTGATGCAGAGGATCTAAGTGTAGGTGTGTCCAGGTGCTGATGCAGAGGATGTAAGTGTAGGTGTGTCCAGGTGCTGATGCAGAGGATGTAAGTGTAGGTGTGTCCAGGTGCTGATGCAGAGGATCTAAGTGTAGGTGTGTCCAGGTGCTGATGCAGAGGATGTAAGTGTAGGTGTGTCCAGGTGCTGATGCAGAGGATGTAAGTGTAGGTGTGTCCAGGTGCTGATGCAGAGGGTGGTCTGTGAGGTCAGGGCCTTGGTCGTGCTGCCCACTAAGGAGCTGGCTCAGCAGGTGTGGAGGGTGTTCTCGGCGTATGCAGAAGGAACGCAGCTCAGAGTGGTCATGGTCGCGGGACATAAGTCTCTGGGAACTGAGGCAGCGTCGCTCTCAGAAGTCCGGTAACAAGTCACACATACTTTGTTACTTCAATATTTCCATTCAGCTGTTTTATTTATCTTTTCTTTTGTGTTATTTCAGGGGCGGTCGGAGGCGAAGTCTCGCGGATATCGTCGTGGCGACTCCTGGACGCCTCGTCGACCACATCAACAAAAACTCGAGCCTCTGTCTGGAACAGCTGCGGTTTCTTGTACGTGCCGCTGTGTCTGCTCAGGACACAGCTAGATTCGTTTTGTTATTTAGTATTTAGCATTGATTTTATAATAATTAACTGTAAAGGTCCTTTTCCAATATTTAACTTATTATTTTAGTACCTCCAGTGTTCCCCTAGGAGGAGCTCTCTGCACTGGGAGCGGTGATCGACTGTGGGGGTCTGGCTCTCGGACCTGGCAGAGGTTTGGAGTCTCATCTCTCCTCTGGGTACCTGTGTCTCTGCTCCTGGTGCAGACGGCTCCTCGGATGGTGCTCCCTCTGCTGGCTTCACAGACACCCTGTGTGTGTGTGTCAGGCCATGGATTGTTTTTAACCATCTGTAATGTACTTTTCTGTTGCATTATTTGTGTGAAAGGTGCTTTAAAAATACATTTTTTATGGATTGGATTGTGTTCCGCACAGGTCATCGATGAGGCAGACAGAATGATTGACAGCATGCACCAGTCCTGGCTCAGTCACGTGATCAAAGCTGTGTTTGCATCTAAAACTGCAGACACACACTCCACTCTCTTCAGGAGGACTGTGGCTGCACACATCACTGCTGCCAGGTCAGTATCTGCCCTGACGCAGTTATTCCAGTGGGGTTTTACTTCACTTTGTTCTTATAGTGTTCTGTCCTGTGTTTCAGTGCCAGCCCTCCTCAAATACCGCTGCAGAAACTGTTATTCTCTGCCACTCTCACTCACGACCCAGAGAAGCTGCAGCAGCTGGGCCTGTACCAGCCTCGCCTCTTCACCTCAGCCCAGCACACGTCTGGGGAAAACTCCGCACCTGAGCGCTTCCACTTCCCTCAAGGCCTCACGGTAACAGCTCGAGCTCTGTTTTTGCATTCTTCTTGTTTTTCAATAATGTTATTTGTGTCTGCCTTACTGTAACTGTTGTTTTGTGCAAATGACAGTTACAAGGAAAAAGTAGATGTTTCCTTTTAGTATTTTTAACAATTTAAGAAAGTATTGTTTGTGACTTCAGGAGTACTACGTCCCGTGTACCATGAACAAGAAGCCTCTGGTCCTGCTGCATTTCATCACCCACATGAAGCTCAGCCCCATTCTGTGCTTCACCAACTCCAGAGAGGCGGCCCACAGGTGTGTGTGTGTGTGTGTGTGTGTGTGTGTGTGTGTGTGTGTGTGTGTGTGTGTGTGTGTGTGTGTGTGTGTGTGTGTGTGTGTGTGTGTGTGTGTGTGTGTGTGTGTGTGTGTGTGTGTGTGTGTGTGTGTGCACTTGTTTTCAACTCCTGGTGGGTTCCATAACCTGAGATTCCACTCACGTCATGGGGACTGGTTTTACGTGGTGGGGCCCGAACACCGGACCCCACTGGTCCAAGCTTAATAATCAATGGGTAATGCTTTTCTAACGGTCCTTATGCAGTCTCTGTAAAAATATGGAAAGGACCCCTGGAGGTTTACTTTCCTGAAAAAAGTGTGTTATGTGTCGGAACCCTGGTGGTGGGTTGCGGGATATCAAGGAGGGGCACACTGGGGCAATTTCAGTCCAGCAGGCTGGAGCCAATCATGGAGCAGCACAACAGAGGAAATCAGGTGTCAGGCTAGAAAAAGGTGCAAGTGTGTGGTTCATTAGGCTGCAAGAAATCATGGAGGAGCACACTGAAGCGCACGCTTACAAACCACTGGTAAGTGCTGACTACAAGTCATGACTTCAAATTGTTATATAGAATGATTACAAATTATTTGTTGTTTGTGCAGCTTAGTCAAGAGTCCCTAATTGATGAAGTCGACTCAGATTCTGACGATTTAACTGTCAAGAAGAAACCTGTAAAAAAGTATGGAAAAAGAAAAATCAAAAACACTTTTCTTCAAGACTCGGAAAGTGACGAACCAAAGGCAAATAAGATTGTTATCATGCAGCTGCAAAAGAAGAAAAATGGGGGGCGAGTATACAGCAAGAGACACTTCTGCCTCTACTGTTCAATGTCCTGCCACAAAATGTCCCGTCATTTGACTAGAAAACATGGAAATGAAAGTGACGTAGCCAGAGCATTGGCTCTACCTGTGAAATCTAAAGCACGTAAACTTCAGTTTGATTTGATCAGGAATAGTGGAAACCGTGAGCACAATTTTGAGGTTTTAAAGGCCGGCATTGGAACTTTAGTCCCAGCTAAACAGCCAAATTCCCCAGTTAAATCCAGTGAGTTTTTGCACTGTATAGACTGTGGGGCATTGCTTAAGCGAAAGTCGCTGTGGAGGCATGTGGCCAGGTGCCGGCTTTCACAGAAAGATGCCCTAGGCTAAACCAGGTAGAAGTAGGGTCCAGTCCCTCTGCTCCCTAGCCCAGCCTGTACCGGAGGGCATCAGCAAAAAGCTGTGGTCTTTAATTTCGGCAATGCATCAGGATGAGGTCACGGGTGTTGTCAAAGCAGAAAAGGGGATTCTGAGACTCGGAGAGCACCTGTACTTAAAACACGGGCATGATAAGACTAAGCATGATTACATTAGGCAGAAAATGAGAGAAGTCGGTAGGTTAATTAACGAAGCAAAAACCGCAGGGAAACTGAAAACAATTAAGGATTTCTTTATTCCTTCCAACTTTAACCATGTGATTGATGCAGTCAGGTCTGTGGCTGGATATGATGAGGAAACAAATCAATACAAGACTCCATCCTTGGCCCTCAAACTCGGCCATAGCCTCAGAAAGCTAGCAGATATTCTTGAATGTGACTCAAAAATGGAGCATTGTGTTGATGAACTATTTATTAAAAACCTCCAACGAAGCCGGCTGCTTTTTGAGAAGAGGTGGGACGTCTGTGTTTCTTCTGCTGCCCTACAGACCCTCCGGCAAGCCAAGTGGAACACTCCGGACCTGCTCCCTCTGACTGAGGACGTTAGAGCCATGCATGCACATATTGAGGTATGTCGACCTGAATATGTGCAAACCCTAATAAGTGAGCCAACGTCTAAGCATTGGTCTAAACTGGCAGTTTTGACTCTTTGTGAGGTCATCATTTTCAATCGAAGAAGGGAAGGTGAGGTTTCAAAGATGCCACTGACAGCCTTTACCTTAAGAAGTAAGACTGGGATCCATTCTGACATTGCTCTGGGACTGTCCCAACTTGAGAAAAAGCTGTGTCAGCATTTTCAACGCATTGAAATTAAAGGGAAAAGAAGTCGGAAAGTGCCGGTTCTTTTGACTCCTGAAATGATTGCTTCGATGGAGGTGCTGGTGGAGAACAGAAGGGCCTGTTCCATCTCTGACCATAACCCATACTTCTTTTCCCGCCCGGGCGCAGACACCCACATCAGGGGATCAGACTCCCTACGCCAGGTAGCCAAAGAATGTGGTGCAGTGCATCCAGAGATGCTATCCTCAACCAAACTTAGAAAGCACATAGCTACTATGTCTACAGTTCTCAATATGAAAGAGAATGAGATGGACATACTTGCCAACTTCCTCGGCCATGACATTCGCATCCACAGGCAATATTACAGACTACCAGAGGGGACACTGGAGCTGGCCAAAATCAGCAAAGTGTTGATGGCCATGGAGCAGGGAAGAGTGACGGAATTCAAAGGAAAGAGCCTCGACCAGATACAAATTGAGCCTGAAGGTAATTCTTGATATTATTAAAATATGTATGATTTTTTTCCCCTAAAGGCCACTTGTATTTTTATTTTCTGTGCGACAGGGAGAGCAGTAGAGATCCTCTCACAAACGGACGGGCTAAAAGAAACTTCAAGCGGAGAACCTTCAACCATTCATCCAGATGCACCCCATGGTAGTGGCAGTGCCCCTTCTGGTAAGTGTACCAGGTGGGGGATTACAGCCAGGCTGCTTGGTCCTCACCCTGGGAGTGTATATTGCTAATATATTTTTATTTCTCTCCCTAGAACGTGTAAGAAAGCCATGGTCTGCATCTGAGGGTGAAGGCTGTGGAGAAGACCATGACACCTTTCATACAGACTGGAAAGGTCCCTGGGAAGTCTCACTGCCTGGCCTGGCCTGGCCTGGCCTGCATTAATGCCTCACCAGATGACCTTAGACATCGGACATGGAGTGGCATTAAATTCTATGTCAAAAATAGAATCACTGCAATTCGAAAACAAAATCTAAAATAAAATTCCTTTAAAATAGTTGTTTGGTTTCTATTGACTGTTTTGTATTACTTAAAGTCTTGGTAAAAAAAGATTATGTCTATGGGTCCCATTCTGAACGGCCCTGTCAAAGGGACCCACCAGGTAACAAAAACGTGTGTGTGTGTGTGTGTGTGTGTGTGTGTGTAGACACACAGATATATTGTGTTGTGTTGTAGACACACAGATATATTGTGTTGTGTTGTAGACACACAGATATATTGTGTTGTGTTGTAGACACACAGATATATTGTGTTGTGTTGTAGACACACAGATATATTGTGTTGTGTTGTAGACACACAGATATATTGTGTTGTGTTGTAGACTGGGGTTACTGCTGCAGTTGTTTGGGGGGATCCAGGCGGCAGAGTTTTCTTCCAGACTGAGTCCAGGAGAGAGGAAGAGGACGCTGAAGGACTTTGAGCAGAGAAAGATCCAACTGTGAGTGTTACTTACACTGGTCCCACTTCACTCTGACCCACTGTTTTTCAACCAATTTCAGACAATGAGTAAAGAATACATTTGTTTGTCTCATCACACAGAATAATTACATATAAAGTATATAAATAATAGTAATGCCAGAGCGTGCTGTTTCCTGAAGGCTGGTGAGCACAGACGCTGCAGCTCGGGGCATCGACCTCAGCGTGGTCAAGTGTGTCATCAACTACGACGCTCCACAGTTCGTCCGCACCTACATCCACAGGTTCGTCCTCCATTTTCTTCTGCTTTATCTGTTGCCGGGTCGCGGGGCAGCAGTCTAAGCAGAGACGCCCAGACTTCCCTCTCACACACTTCCTCCAACTCGTCCGACCCCGAGGCGTTCCCAGGCCAGCTGAGAGACATAGTCCCTCTGGGTTCTGGGTCTTCCCCGGGGCCTCCTCCCGGTGGGACGTGCCTGGAACCTCCCCATGGAGGCGTCCAGGAGGCATCCTGCACAGATGCCCGAGCCACCTCAACTGGTTCCTCTCGACGTGGAGGAGCAGCGGCTCTACTCTGAGCTCCTCTATCTCTAAGCGAAACTCATACTTGCATCCGCAATCTCTTCCTTTCAGTCCTCACCCAAAGCTTATGACCAGAGGTGAGGGAGGGAACTAAGGCTATATCCACACGAAGACAAAACGCTTATAATTTCAGAAACGTTTTCTGTAAACACGGAGTTAGCTCAGTAAATGTGTGCGTCCACATGAATGTAGTCAATACGGCTGAAAACGCTGTGAAACTATGCCAGACCTGTTGGTGGCGCTGTGACGCAATGACGGGATCAAGCCCAAACTTCCGTGACGGGAACTGGGCATGCGCAGAATGTAGTAAACAGACAACATGGCGAGTGGGCGAGCTGGTACTACATTAGTATGGACGGACGATGAGGTTGAACTGTTGCTTCGGGTCACACTGGATTACAAAACCAACAAGCTACATTGTTGTTGTCATTATTTTCTGAGTGCGGCGCATGCGTGCTTTAACAAGAGGCGGGCGATGACGCGTCTCAGATACATTGCGGAGAGGCAGTAACCACGGAGCGGCATATACGGAGTTTTGAAATCTTTCCACTCTGGGACCTACTTTCAAAAATGTTCGTTTACACCCCCCCAAAACGCCGGCCTCGCATGGACGATACACTGGATTGATAAAGTATTTTTGCGTTTAGGCCTGAGCTTGACTTCGTGTGGACAGGGCCTTAGATTGACCGGTAAAGCTAGAGCTCTGAATGCAGACGCTGCTCCCTCTCACCACAACAGTCCGACACACTGCCATTTCTTACTCTGTCCAAACTTTTGTCTCAGAATTGGCCGAACGGCGAGAGCGGGCAGAGCTGGACTGGCCTTCACCTTCCTGCTGCAAGTACAGGTCAGAAACTAACTTTCAAATCTACAAACGAACCAACGACAGGATCCTGATGAACTCTCTGTGCAGGAGAAACACTTCCTGCAGATGGTGAGTGAGGCCGGCAGTCCTGGGATCCAGAAACAAGCGGTGAAACCAGAGCTTCTGAAAGGCCTGGAGCCGCGTTACGAAAAGGCACTCGATGAATTGGCTGAAATGATCAAGGTTCATCCCACACTTTTAAATGTTTTTCATGATATTTATTATTTTATTTACAACTGAATACATTTGGCTCGCTCTCTCTGCAGGAGGAGAAGACCCAGTGAGGACACGACTGCTTTAGCTTTTTCATACAGATTTTGTTCAAATGTTGATAACCAGAAGGAAATAAACTACTTTCTCAAAACAAAATCAAGTCTGACTAAAGTTAATTTACAAGTTAGTGTTGTGTCTTTTCTTTCTTATGAGCGCACGCTACTGTTACAGATGTATTTATTTATTAAGAACAAATATAATATGTTAGACAGGCTGAGCACGGATTAACTTAAATCATGTAAATCACTTTTCCAATTCAGAAAGAAGTTCAAGATCAAATATAGCTTCTCACTTTAGACATTTGGCAGTGGTGGTAGTGGCAGTCAGTCCCATTTCGAGGTCTTCCGCCGCATGCTGCGCTCCCCCTCGCTGTCGATGGCTTCATAGAGCTGCTGCTGGTTCTCCTTCGTGGCGTGCATGTAACCAAGGTAACCGACGCACAGAGTGATGCTGAGCAGACCCAGTCCCATCACCGTCTTATTCTGCCACAAACACAAACCAGATCTGAGTTACAACCACACGCTCCTGTTCAGCACCACGGACAGTTACACTCAAGACCCTGCGTTGTCCTGGGTCTACAGCCTCAGTCCTGGGTCTACAGCCTCAGTCCTGGGTCTACAGCCTCAGTCCTGGATCTACAGCCTCAGTCCTGGGTCTACAGCCTCAGTCCTGGGTCTACGGCCTCAGTCCTGGGTCTACAGCCTCAGTCCTGGGTCTACAGCCTCAGTCTACGGCCTCAGTCCTGGGTCTACAGCCTCAGTCCTGGGTCCACAGCCTCAGTCCTGGGTCTACAGCCTCAGTCCTGGGTCCACAGCCTCAGTCCTGGATCTACAGCCTCAGTCCTGGGTCCACAGCCTCAGTCTTGGGTCTACGGCCTCAGTCCTGGGTCTACAGCCTCAGTCCTGGGTCTACAGCCTCAGTCCTGGGTCCACAGCCTCAGTCCTGGGTCTGCAGCCTCAGTCCTGGGTCTACAGCCTCAGTCCTGGGTCCACAGCCTCAGTCCTGGGTCTACAGCCTCAGTCTTGGATCTACAGCCTCAGTCCTGGGTCCACAGCCTCAGTCCTGGGTCTACAGCCTCAGTCCTGGGTCTACGGCCTCAGTCCTGGGTCTACAGCCTCAGTCCTGGGTCCACAGCCTCAGTCCTGGGTCTACAGCCTCAGTCCTGGGTCCACAGCCTCAGTCCTGGATCTACAGCCTCAGTCCTGGGTCCACAGCCTCAGTCTTGGGTCTACGGCCTCAGTCCTGGGTCTACAGCCTCAGTCCTGGGTCTACAGCCTCAGTCCTGGGTCTACAGCCTCAGTCCTGGGGGTCCACAGCCTCAGTCCTGGGTCTACAGCCTCAGTCCTGGGTCCACGGCCTCAGTCCTGGATCCACGGCCTCAGTCCTGGGTCTACGGCCTCAGTCCTGGGTCTACAGCCTCAGTCCTGGGGGTCCACAGCCTCAGTCCTGGGTCTACAGCCTCAGTCCTGGGTCTACAGCCTCAGTCCTGGGTCCACAGCCTCAGTCCTGGATCTACGGCCTCAGTCCTGGGTCTACGGCCTCAGTCCTGGGTCCACAGCCTCAGTCCTGGGAGTCCACAGCCTCAGTCCTGGGTCTACAGCCTCAGTCCTGGGTCCACAGCCTCAGTCCTGGATCTACGGCCTCAGTCCTGGGTCTACAGCCTCAGTCCTGGGGGTCCACAGCCTCAGTCCTGGGTCTACAGCCTCAGTCCTGGGTCCACGGCCTCAGTCCTGGATCCACGGCCTCAGTCCTGGGTCTACGGCCTCAGTCCTGGGTCTACAGCCTCAGTCCTGGGGGTCCACAGCCTCAGTCCTGGGTCTACAGCCTCAGTCCTGGGTCCACGGCCTCAGTCCTGGATCTACGGCCTCAGTCCTGGGTCTACGGCCTCAGTCCTGGGTGTACAGCCTCAGTCCTGGGGGTCCACAGCCTCAGTCCTGGGTCTACAGCCTCAGTCCTGGGTCCACAGCCTCAGTCCTGGATCTACGGCCTCAGTCCTGGGTCTACGGCCTCAGTCCTGGGTCCACAGCCTCAGTCCTGGGTGTACAGCCTCAGTCCTGGGAGTCCACAGCCTCAGTCCTGGATCTACGGCCTCAGTCCTGGGTGTACAGCCTCAGTCCTGGGGGTCCACAGCCTCAGTCCTGGGTCTACAGCCTCAGTCCTGGATCTACGGCCTCAGTCCTGGGTCTACAGCCTCAGTCCTGGGTCTACAGCCTCAGTCCTGGATCTACAGCCTCAGTCCTGGATCTACGGCCTCAGTCCTGGATCTACAGCCTCAGTCCTGGGTCTACAGCCTCAGTCCTGGGTCCACGGCCTCAGTCCTGGATCTACGGCCTCAGTCCTGGGTCTACAGCCTCAGTCCTGGGGGTCCACAGCCTCAGTCCTGGGTCTACGGCCTCAGTCCTGGGTCTACGGCCTCAGTCCTGGGTCTACGGCCTCAGTCCTGGATCTACGGCCTCAGTCCTGGGTCTACGGCCTCAGTCCTGGGTCTACGGCCTCAGTCCTGGGTCTACGGCCTCAGTCCTGGGTCTAGCCTCAGTCCTACGGCCTCAGTCCTGGGTCTACGGCCTCAGTCCTGGGTCTACGGCCTCAGTCCTGGGTCTACGGCCTCAGTCAGTCCTGGGTCTACGGCCTCAGTCCTGGGTCTACGGCCTCAGTCCTGGTCTACGGCCTCAGTCCTGGGTCTACAGCCTCAGTCCTGGGTCTACAGCCTCAGTCCTGGATCTACAGCCTCAGTCCTGGGTCTACAGCCTCAGTCCTGGATCTACAGCCTCAGTCCTGGATCTACAGCCTCAGTCCTGGGTCTACAGCCTCAGTCCTGGGTCTACGGCCTCAGTCCTGGGTCTACGGCCTCAGTCCTGGGTCTACAGCCTCAGTCCTGGGTCTACAGCCTCAGTCCTGGGTCTACAGCCTCAGTCCTGGGTCTACAGCCTCAGTCCTGGGTCTACAGCCTCAGTCCTGGGTCTACAGCCTCAGTCCTGGGTCTACAGCCTCAGTCCTGGATCTACGGCCTCAGTCCTGGGTCTACAGCCTCAGTCCTGGGTCCACGGCCTCAGTCCTGGATCTACGGCCTCAGTCCTGGGTCTACAGCCTCAGTCCTGGGGGTCCACAGCCTCAGTCCTGGGTCTACGGCCTCAGTCCTGGATCTACGGCCTCAGTCCTGGGTCTACGGCCTCAGTCCTGGATCTACGGCCTCAGTCCTGGGTCTACGGCCTCAGTCCTGGGTCTACGGCCTCAGTCCTGGGTCTACGGCCTCAGTCCTGGATCTACGGCCTCAGTCCTGGGTCTACGGCCTCAGTCCTGGGTCTACGGCCTCAGTCCTGGGTCTACGGCCTCAGTCCTGGGTCTACGGCCTCAGTCCTGGATCTACGGCCTCAGTCCTGGGTCTACGGCCTCAGTCCTGGATCTACGGCCTCAGTCCTGGGTCTACGGCCTCAGTCCTGGGTCTACAGCCTCAGTCCTGGGGGTCCACAGCCTCAGTCCTGGGTCTACAGCCTCAGTCCTGGGTCTACAGCCTCAGTCCTGGGTCTACGGCCTCAGTCCTGGGTCTACGGCCTCAGTCCTGGGTCTACGGCCTCAGTCCTGGGTCTACGGCCTCAGTCCTGGGTCTACAGCCTCAGTCCTGGGTCTACAGCCTCAGTCCTGGATCTACAGCCTCAGTCCTGGGTCTACAGCCTCAGTCCTGGGTCAACAGCCTCAGTCCTGGGTCCACAGCCTCAGTCCTGGGTCTACAGCCTCAGTCCTGGGTCTACAGCCTCAGTCCTGGATCTACAGCCTCAGTCCTGGGTCCACAGCCTCAGTCCTGGGTCTACAGCCTCAGTCCTGGGTCAACAGCCTCAGTCCTGGGTCCACAGCCTCAGTCCAAGTTCGAGTCCTTAGCCCTAAAATGTGAAGTATTTTTAAGGATAAGGACGCGTTATATTTGAAGGAGAGGGAACGTAAATATACAGCTTTACTCCTGGTCCTCGGTCTCTACTCTCGGTCTCTACTCCTGGTCTCTACTCCTGGTCTCTACTCCTGGTTTCCTGTCCTGGTTTGTGAGGACACAGTAGATTCTCACTGGTTTGATGAAGAGTTCAGGGTTGACCGCCCTGAACAGTGTCGTGGTCTTGGCTCCTCTCAGCCCCGGGCTCCGGTAACCCTCTGCGGGTCTCCCCTCTGCGGGTCTCCCCTCTGCGGGTCTCCCCTCTGCGGGTCTTCCCTCTGCGGGTCTTCCCTCTGCGGGTCTTCCCTCCGCGGCTCTTCCCTCCGCGGGTCTCCCCTCCGCGGCTCTCCCCTCTGCGGGTCTCCCCTTCTCCGTGTCCGACATCTTCCTAGTGTCTGGACTGTTGCATGCTTGAATCAAACTTGAGTCTGTTTTGATCCCATGGTCCTTCAGGGCGACGCCATGTTTACTGCTGCTGGTCCAGTGGAATAACACAGCGCCCCCAGAGGCCAGGAGGTGGTACTGTAACGGGCAGGCTGGGGCAGGAGTGAGATGAGTAAGATGCAGAGGCAGAACTATCCCTGGAGAGTCTATGATAACCAGTCTCTGTTTATTGTGTGAACACCACAACCATTCCCTACTTCTGTCCCCAGTTCAATGTTTTAAAAAGTAAACACAGCGGACTGGCGCATGCGCACTCCAGCACACGCCTACAATATGACCAGTGGGGTAGACTCCCATTCAAGTAAAGCTGGGTGTCATACATGATTGTGAATGTAGAGAACAAGTTTTCATTTTATTATCAAACATGGTATTTTGCGAACAAGAATAAAAACCTGTGAGTCGCCATTTGACGCTTTGGGCTGAGAGCTGATTGGCTGAATGAGGCTGGTCCTTGTTTTTTCCACATGTCTTTCTAAAAAAAGCCCTGCTCTTCCCACACCTTCTGTATTTTTAAGAGAGGATAACTGACTTCATAGTTTATTTTTTTGAATGGCATAATTTTGTTTAAATTTTGTAGTTGCTGTTAAAGAATAGGATCTTATTCATTTTAAAGTTCATGAGGACGTAAAAGTAACTATTGTCATAGTAATGTAAGTATCTACTTTGTGGAACAGTGTACCTATGCTAAATATTCATGAGATATCATTTTAGATCTTAGAAAAGCAGGCTCCTGGCACAAGGAGCACAGCTGTTATGAATATTGTTTTTTCTTCAGTGTAATGTGCATTTATAAGCAGCTCATTAACAACAACAAACAAACCCTAACATTACTCTCATGACTCTTTATAATATTACTGATAAAAGAGTCTGGACTTTAGAGACGTCGCTTGACTTCAGCGTAAATGAGATCTGAGCTGATGTATTATAGATGGACGGAAACTCTGCACCAACTCTGAGGCTATTTACATAAGAATCCATGACAACACACACGCCCACAGCACCACAAACACACACACACAGCACCACAAACACACACACACACACACACACACACACACACACACACACACACCACAAACACACACACACACAGCACCACAAACACACACACACACGCACACACACACACACAGCACCAGGTTTCTCTGTCAGGAACTAGCTCCTTTCCGGGCACAACTAACTAAAAAGACAATATTTTATACTTACATCATGTGTTTATACTATATACTATACCAATAATAATAATAATAATAATAATACATATACTGGTAAAGCACTTTTTTGGACACTCAAAGAACAAATCCAAAGTTTTTATTCTTCCTTACTTCCTTTCATGACTCCATATAAATGAAACTACTCTGTGTGCGGTGTATGACCTGGAGGCGACAGAGGACGTGGTTTTGAAATCCAAATCCAGTGGTATTTAAATGTGGGAAACAGGGCGTGGCGTGGAGCAGGTTCCTGGAGCTGTCACCGGGAACAGACGGTCACCGGGAACAGACGGTCACCGGGAACAGACGGACACCGGGAACAGACGGACACCTGGGAGCAGAGACACAGGTACAGACTTCATCACCAATATTCCATCAGAGAGAAGGCTCCTGTGGCTGAGTGTGAGAGGACGTGTGGGGGTCCATCAGAGAGAAGGCTCCTGTGGCTGAGTGTGAGAGGACGTGTGGGGGTCCATCAGAGAGAAGGCTCCTGTGGCTGAGTGTGAGAGGACGTGTGGGGGTCCATCAGAGAAGGCTGCTGTGGCTGAGTGTGAGAGGACGTGTGGGGGTCCATCAGAGAGAAGGCTCCTGTGGCTGAGTGTGAGAGGACGTGTGGGGGTCCATCAGAGAGAAGGCTCCTGTGGCTGAGTGTGAGAGGACGTGTGGGGGTCCATCAGAGAAGGCTCCTGTGGCTGAGTGTGAGAGGAGACGTGTGGGGGTCCATCAGAGAGAAGGCTCCTGTGGCTGAGTGTGAGAGGACGTGTGGGGGTCCATCAGAGAAGGCTGCTGTGGCTGAGTGTGAGAGGACGTGTGGGGGTCCATCAGAGAGAAGGCTCCTGTGGCTGAGTGTGAGAGGACGTGTGGGGGTCCATCAGAGAGAAGGCTCCTGTGGCTGAGTGTGAGAGGACGTGTGGGGGTCCATCAGAGAAGGCTCCTGTGGCTGAGTGTGAGAGGACGTGTGGGGGTCCATCAGAGAGAAGGCTCCTGTGGCTGAGTGTGAGAGGACGTGTGGGGGTCCATCAGAGAGAAGGCTCCTGTGGCTGAGTGTGAGAGGACGTGTGGGGGTCCATCAGAGAAGGCTCCTGTGGCTGAGTGTGAGAGGACGTGTGGGGGTCCATCAGAGAGAAGGCTCCTGTGGCTGAGTGTGAGAGGACGTGTGGGGGTCCATCAGAGAGAAGGCTCCTGTGGCTGAGTGTGTGAGAGGACGTGTGGGGGTCCATCAGAGAGAAGGCTCCTGTGGCTGAGTGTGAGAGGACGTGTGGGGGTCCATCAGAGAGAAGGCTCCTGTGGCTGAGTGTGAGAGGACGTGTGGGGGTCCATCAGAGAAGGCTCCTGTGGCTGAGTGTGAGAGGACGTGTGGGGGTCCATCAGAGAGAAGGCTCCTGTGGCTGAGTGTGAGAGGACGTGTGGGGGTCCATCAGAGAGAAGGCTCCTGTGGCTGAGTGTGAGAGGACGTGTGGGGGTCCATCAGAGAAGGCTCCTGTGGCTGAGTGTGAGAGGACGTGTGGGGGTCCATCAGAGAGAAGGCTCCTGTGGCTGAGTGTGAGAGACGTGTGGGGGTCCATCAGAGAAGGCTCCTGTGGCTGAGTGTGAGAGGACGTGTGGGGGGTCCATCAGAGAGAAGGCTCCTGTGGCTGAGTGTGAGAGGACGTGTGGGGGTCCATCAGAGAGAAGGCTCCTGTGGCGAGTGTGAGAGGACGTGTGGGGGTCCATCAGAGAAGGCTCCTGTGGCTGAGTGTGAGAGGACGTGTGGGGGTCCATCAGAGAAGGCTCCTGTGGCTGAGTGTGAGAGGACGTGTGGGGGTCCATCAGAGAGAAGGCTCCTGTGGCTGAGTGTGAGAGGACGTGTGGGGGTCCATCAGAGAGAAGGCTCCTGTGGCTGAGTGTGAGAGGACGTGTGGGGGTCCATCAGAGAAGGCTCCTGTGGCTGAGTGTGAGAGGACGTGTGGGGGTCCATCAGAGAGAAGGCTCCTGTGGCTGAGTGTGAGAGGACGTGTGGGGGTCCATCAGAGAGAAGGCTCCTGTGGCTGAGTGTGAGAGGACGTGTGGGGGTCCATCAGAGAGAAGGCTCCTGTGGCTGAGTGTGAGAGGACGTGTGGGGGTCCATCAGAGAGAAGGCTCCTGTGGCTGAGTGTGAGAGGACGTGTGGGGGTCCATCAGAGAGAAGGCTCCTGTGGCTGAGTGTGAGAGGACGTGTGGGGGTCCATCAGAGAGAAGGCTCCTGTGGCTGAGTGTGAGAGGACGTGTGGGGGTCCATCAGAGAGAAGGCTCCTGTGGCTGAGTGTGAGAGGACGTGTGGGGGTCCATCAGAGAAGGCTCCTGTGGCTGAGTGTGAGAGGACGTGTGGGGGTCCATCAGAGAGAAGGCTCCTGTGGCTGAGTGTGAGAGGACGTGTGGGGGTCCATCAGAGAAGGCTCCTGTGGCTGAGTGTGAGAGGACGTGTGGGGGTCCATCAGAGAAGGCTCCTGTGGCTGAGTGTGAGAGGACGTGTGGGGGGTCCATCAGAGAGAAGGCTCCTGTGGCTGAGTGTGAGAGGACGTGTGGGGGTCCATCAGAGAAGGCTCCTGTGGCTGAGTGTGAGAGGACGTGTGGGGGTCCATCAGAGAGAAGGCTCCTGTGGCTGAGTGTGAGAGGACGTGTGGGGGTCCATCAGAGAGAAGGCTCCTGTGGCTGAGTGTGAGAGGACGTGTGGGGGTCCATCAGAGAGAAGGCTCCTGTGGCTGAGTGTGAGAGGACGTGTGGGGGTCCATCAGAGAGAAGGCTGCTGTGGCTGAGTGCGAGAGGACGTGTGGGGCGTCTATGGAGGTGGCCATGGCTCTTGGTTCAATATTTAATACTTCGAAAATGTACATGGCCAGAGAGAGGTTTGATGAGAATCCTGAGCCACTTCTGAATACAGAAAAATCAGGCAGTGATAAACACATTTTTAAGTATTCCTAAACTTTAAAGTAGATTAGACATTATTTTTGAACGGTATCGATTGTATTTTGTGTTTTGAATTGAATTTGATGTACAGCCTCAGTCCTGGATCTACAGCCTCCATAAGGACAGTGATGATATGAGACTTTTTTTTTAAGTTAAAGGTGCACTTTATTAATCCCCGTAGGGTAATTCAATCCTCTGCATTTGACCCAGATCCTGATGCCCTAAGGCTTATGTCAGGAGCAGTGGTCGCCGTAGTAACAGCGCCCGGGAACCATCTCCAGATGTTGATGCTCGGCTTGGTCAGGACCAGAGCTGGAGGATTTAACCTAGTGAGCAGGTTTTTAGTGGTAGGGGAAACCGGAGCACCTGGAGGAAACCTACGCAAGCACTGGGAGAGCAAACTCCACTTAGAAAGACCCCGTTCCGACTGGGATTCAAACCATGGACCTTATTGCTGAGAGGCCAGAGTGCTATCCACCCGTTCTGCTCCTTCTGTATTTGTTTTTGCATTTCTTGTGTTTTCTGTTGTATTCCCAGGATCCCGTCTCGAACAGTTGCCTCCTTTCGTGAGCAGAGAAGATGAACTGGGGTTTCCTGGAGAAGATCCTGAGTGGAGTCAACAAGTACTCCACCGTGATCGGCCGCATCTGGCTGTCGGTGGTGTTCTTGTTCCGCATCCTGGTGTACGTGGCGGCGGCGGAGCAGGTGTGGAAGGACGAGCAGAAGGACTTTGTCTGCAACACTCGGCAGCCGGGCTGTGAGAACGCCTGCTTCGACCGCTCCTTCCCGGTGTCGCAGGTCCGGCTCTGGGCCCTGCAGCTCATCATGGTGTCCACGCCGTCTCTGCTGGTGGCGCTGCACGTGGCCTACAGGGAGCACCGCGAGAGCCGCCTCCACCGCAAGATCTACGCCGACAAGAGCAGCCTGGACGGAGGCTTGTTCTGCACCTACACCTTCAGCCTGATCTGCAAGACAGCCTTTGAGGTGGGCCCTGGGACTATGCTCTCAGCTGAAGTTCAAAAGAAAGGCAGGAGGAGCAGGAGAAGCAGGAGGAGCAGTGAGGAGCAGGGGGAGCAGGAGGAGCAGGAGAAGCAGTGAGGAGCAGTGAGGAGCAGGGGGCGCGCTAACCAAAAAATACAAACGATTGATGTAGAGCTTTATAGGCCTCAGAGTTTAAAGACCGTGACAATAGTCCAGAAATCACAATTTATATTATCTATACTTGTCCACTGGGGACAGGACTGGGGACAGGACTGGGGACAGGACTGGGGACAGGACTGGGGACAAGACTGGGGACAGGACTGGGGACAGGACCAGTGCCTGATATGAGCAAATATGTTGTAAAGTGAAAATGCACAGATGTCGTCCTATCGTTGTGTTGATGTTTCTGAATACTTTGTCACAGGTGGGATTCCTTCTGGCTTTTTACTTCATCTACGACGGCTTCGAAGTGCCCATCCTGATCCGCTGCGACGAGAGCCCCTGCCCCAACACCGTGGACTGTTACATCGGGAAAGCCACAGAGAAGAAGATCTTCCTCTGCATCATGGGCACCACCTCCATCCTCTGCATCGTCCTCAACGTGATGGAGTTTGTCTACATTCTCTGGAAGCGACTCTGGAAGTGCTTCACACGACGGTACACCCCCGAAGAGAGAGATCCACAGAGAGAGACACAGAGAGAGACGCTGAGAGAGACGCTGAGAGACCCACAGAGAGAGACGCTGAGAGACCCACAGAGAGAGACGCTGAGAGAGACACAGAGAGAGACGCTGAGAGACCCACAGAGAGAGACGCTGAGAGAGACACAGAGAGAGACACTGAGAGACCCACAGAGAGAGACGCTGAGAGAGACACAGAGAGAGACACTGAGAGACCCACAGAGAGAGACGCTGAGAGAGACACAGAGAGAGACGCTGGGAGACCCACAGAGAGAGACGCTGAGAGAGACACAGAGAGAGACACTGGGAGACCCACAGAGAGAGACGCTGAGAGACCCCGAGAGAGACCCACAGAGACACACAGAGAGACCCACATAGAGACTCACAGAGAGAGACAAAGAGACGCTGAGAGACCCACAGAGAGAGACACAGAGACCCACAGAGAGACGCTGAGAGACCCCGAGAGAGACCCTAAGAGAGACACACAGAGACCCACATAGAGACCCACAGAGAGAGACAGAAACACACAGAGACCCACATAGAGACCCACACAGAGACCCACAGAGAGATCCACAGAGAGACCCACAGAGAGACCCACAGAGAGACCCACAGAGAGACCCACAGAGAGACCCACAGAGAGAGACACATAGAGACCCACAGAGAGACCCACAGAGAGACCCACAGAGAGACCCACAGAGAGAGACGCTGAGAGAGAGACACAGAGAGAGAGACACTGGGAGACCCACAGAGAGATCCACAGAGAGAGACGCTGAGAGAGACACAGAGAGAGACACTGGGAGACCCACAGAGAGATCCACAGAGAGACCCACAGAGAGACCCACAGAGAGATCCACAGAGAGACCCACAGAGAGATCCACAGAGAGACCCACAGAGAGACCCACAGAGAGAGACACATAGAGACCCAGAGAGATCCACAGAGAGACCCACAGAGAGACCCACAGAGAGACCCACAGAGAGACCCACAGAGAGAGACACATAGAGACCCACCACAGAGAGACCCACAGAGAGAGACACATAGAGACCCACAGAGAGACCCACAGAGAGACCCACAGAGAGACCCACAGAGAGAGACACATAGAGACCCACAGAGAGACCCACAGAGAGAGACACATAGAGACCCACAGAGAGAGACACATAGAGACCCACAGAGAGACCCACAGAGAGAGACACCTGAGTCCGAAGCAGCCACCTGTGTCTATTGTCAACAGCTCCTGCACACAGCCCACGGCAAACACTGCGTGAGGAAAACCTGCTGCACCGGTTCAGACAGACGCTCATCACCTGCTGCTGTCCTCCTGCTGAGAGACCTCCTGCTGAGAGACCTCCTGCTGAGAGACCTCCTGCTGAGAGGCCTCCTGCTGCTGCTGCCTGGACTACTACATTAACCCATTTAGCTGCTGGACATAAGTCACCTCATGTCTACAGTTTCCCATAACCTGGAACCCCAAGAACCCTGTGTGAAGGTGTGAGGAGACTGTTTACTTTAGTCCTCCTCGTTCGGACAGAACTGTTTTTCTGTCAAAGCAGCCTTTTCATTTGTCTGTGAGGGAGTTTAAATTCAGGTGTGCAGTCATGACACAGATGGTAAATAACCGTGTTGTCCATCCATCCATCCATCCATCTTCTTCCCTTTAATCCATTTCTGGGTCAGGGGGGTGGCAGTCAGAGATGCCACCCAAGTCTCATAGCACCAGCCCCTCACTGACCCTCTGCAGGTGGTGAGTCCACTGGAGGACGGCTGCTCTCTGAGTGTGAGCATAGCCTTGATCTTTCAGTGGGGGCTTTGGGCAAAGTGGGGTTAAGTGTCTTGCCCAAGGACACAACGACAGCAGTCATCAGTGGGAGTCGGTGGAGAAGGTGCAGAGGTGGGAATTGAACCCACGACCTTCTGGGCTTAAGGCCAATGCTCTACCAACTGAGCTACTGTCGCCCCCTAACCGTGTTGTATATATTGTAAATAGTGTCTTTGTGGTTAAGGATGTCACGCTGTATTTTAAATGTTTATTCTAATTATAAATTCTTTGCACACTGTAAACCCACTCTGCCCAATGATTACTATGTTTATGTTTATTATGCTATGTTTACAGACTTTTCATACGTTCAATACATTTAATATTAATACATTAGTTTTATGCAGCGCTCTTCAGGACGCTCAAAGTCTCTTCACATTGTTTTTTTTCTCTAAACACGGTGGTGATTAACTACTACTGTAGCCACAGCTGCCCTGGGGCACACTGACAGAAGCGAGGCAACCAGTCTGTGCCATCGGCCCCTCCCACCACCACCAACCATTCACACACACACCAGACTCATTCTGAGCCCATTTACAGCCGCCCCACTGTGGCACCTGATGTTCCCAGAGGTCTCCCATCACAGTACTAACCAGGCCCTGCTCTGCTTATCTTCAGAAGTCTGACAGAATCTGGGTTTTGCATACAGGTATGACCAAACTAAAACAGGAAAATAAGAATTTAAATTGTGTACCTTACTGAATGTATAAATATTACACAAACAGACTTGTTTGACCAGTTTGTGTTAAAAGTCCAGACGCATCAGTTCATTGACTCCAATGATTTAAACATCAGCGACATCTAGTGTTGGGATCAGGGATAACATGTGCCGCCACCGTATTTAGGTCGTATCTTGTTTGCATGTCACTCCTGCCCTTTCTGAACATAACCTCCCGGACTCGTTTTCTTCAAACCTCTGTGTTTCCTGTGGGTCAAATGCAAATGAAATGTTTCACTACTAATAACTAAAATAAATCTTATTGTCGCACTACATGAGTCAAAAACCACTTCCACAGCCTTTTGTTCTGACATTTCAAACTTTGATCCCTTATAAATAGAGCACCTGGAGATATACAACTATAACACATGTACTTAAATTATCAACACCTTGTAGAGTGCAGACATCTGGCAAGAGGCGTAATTCCTCACCTCTAAAATGAAATAATTTGTTCTTTGACACATTTACGAGGTTTACTTGAAAATCCAGCCGTAGTCTTGTTCACGAGCAGACACCCAACCTCAGGTGAAAACACTAGCCCCTGGGGGAGGTGACAATGGATTTCCTTGGTTCTCAAAATGCGGGTCGAGACCAGACGGCACCTTTAACGGGAGACTCATGTGGTGCTTATTCTTGTTTGTCTCCATCATTTATCAAACACACTGAAATAACTTAACTCATAGTGGACTCGTGACGACAGACGCAGACCTCCACCACCGTCATCACTCACTATATTCACAGTGCTGCATGTTGTTGGTGGTGGGGTAAACTGGAGGAAACCCACCAGACACAGAACAAGGAGGACCGTCTTGCTGTGAGGCAAAGCCGTTACCCACTCACCCTCATGTAACCCATCCTTCCCCCTTTCATAATCTTTTCCATATTCATTACTAACAAACGGTTATTCATAAAAGAGTGTGAGCTGTACAAAAACAGAAATAAGTTTATAAAAACAAGATTTAATAAGAGTGAATCTGCTGGTGGCAGTAAGTGGCGTTTTAAAATATGTACACTAACATTTGAGTCAACAATCTAATCACGACACTAGCATACAAAGTCCACAATCAGTCCCACAGCGAACGTTGGGACATGTTTTTAGTTCATAAGTTACACATGCTTACAGTTTTCTATACATATACATTTAAACATTTACAGTTGGAGTTATAAAACATTTCGTCTTCAGAACAATGCAGTGGATATGTCCTGAGATACTGCTGAAATGGAGGACTATTTTTTCTCCAAAATAATCATAGGCTGCATGTCCTGCAGCTGCTTCAACATGAGCTCGGTGGCGCCCACGAACGCTTTATCAACAACTATCTTCACCTTGTCCAAAGATTTCAGATTTTGACGGTTGCTGAATTTGACACAGTTCTCTTTGGAGCCCAGGTGAGACAGTCTGACCCACGGACCTATCAACGGGATCTCGCACGGGAGAGAAGGCTTGTTTGACTGTTCTAGAAACTTTAAAAAAGACAGTTCAAATCCCATCGGTTTGAAGGCGGCCAAAGACACGGACTGGTCGGACTCCTTCTCTGAATCCGAACGCTCCCCTCGGCTCTCGCTCGCCTTGGACGGTGCGGATATTTTTTTGCGTTTCACGATTTTCTCAACGATACGTTTTGGCCTCCCGCGCTTGCGTTTCAACACCACCGAGCCGTCGGAGCTGCTGTCGTTGGAAAGTCCGTCCAGCATCGCGGCGGAGATGATGGGGCTGGACCTTTTGCGCAAATATGGTTTGGAATCATCGAACGGCGTGTCGTCTGCGCCGTTGAGACCGGCCAGCTCCGGTTCAGTATCAGATTGATCGGATTTGGATTCATCGCTTCGGACCGAGCCATTTTTCTGCCTGGGAAACTTTTTGCAGAATATGTAGTGACTTCTGTGCTGTTCCAAATACTTTTCGGTAAGTCCATGGACGGTGTAATGTTTTAAAATGCTCTTCTCTGAATTCATTACCGAGTCACAACCTTTAATCATGCAAGGGTACTCCAACGGATAGGATTTGGTACACATCGCAGCTGCTTCCACTTTTGATTTTAAAACCGGTTTTTCATATTTAGTCCAATAGTTGTTAATTTTCCGTGTTCTTTTCACGTTGCTTTCTTTCTGCGGACTCGTTTGAATGGTCTCAATGTTTTCTTTCCCGTCACTGGTTTTATTAAGCTGAAACTCTTTCTTTGAGGTTGGCTTAACACAATGCTCAGGTTTTGGTTGGATTTTCTGTTTGAGTTGGTAAAAATCATTATGTTTTTTCATGAGATGCCTGAGCATGTTGGACTTTGTGGCGTAGGCGCGGTCACAACCCTCAATTTCACATTTGTACATGTTTTCGGGCTTGGACAGTCTGATGTCTTTGTGTAGTTCTTTAATGTGCGCGATATACTTCCAGAAAGCGGTGAAGGTTACGGCACATCCTTCGTGACCACAAACAAATCTCCCGAGCCGAATGACCGACAACAAATCCCCGACTTTATCAACGCTGAACTCGTGAAGTCGGAGATAGTGCTGCATGAGCTGAGGGACCTGCTGGAAAACTCGTGAGCAGTCTTTAACTTGACATCGGAACTCGGAAATGGATGGCTCATCGTCATCCTCCTCCTCCTGCTCCATCTCCCCTTCCGCCTCGTTTGACTCTTGCTCCTTGTTGACCTCGAGAGCCGACAGAGCCGACTGGTGGACCGCCCGATAGTGAAGGATTAGATTGTGCTGCACGGCAAAAGCAGCCTCGCAGTCTTGGTGGACGCAGCGGTACGGCTTGAATGGGTCGCTCGCCGTGGGCTTTTTGTCAATCGTCTGTTTTACTCCCGGTTTATTTAACGGTTTCCCATGTGTGAGTAGCCCTTTGGCTCGATCTGTTTGGGATAAGTGAGCAAAATTGGTAGCAGATTTTGGATGATTCTTGGAACAATTTGCTTCGGTGCATAGTCTGGCATGCTCTTCCTGTTTCAAAGCAAGGCTGTGGCCGTTCGTCTTGGGCAGCGATTGGATTACCGACATTCCCCCCGGATGATTTTGGTTCCGATGTAGAAATTCTTGATGTTCAGGAGCACCGTGACGTCTTTTCTTTCCACCATTCTGCAAGTTCATCAAGCGGACCATTGCTGCTCTGTCTTTTCTCCGCTTCATATCCAACACATTTATTTCTTCACATGAAAGTTTGTGAACGGAAATGTAATGCGCTTTAAGGTTCGGGTTGCGCGTGAATGTTCTTGGACATTTCTGACACTGAAATGGAGCGTATTGTCCTTGTTGTTTTTTGACTTTAGTTACTTGATCAAATGTGTAATTGTGGATTTTATAGAGGTGCCTCCAAAACGAGTCACATGAATACGTAGTGTAGTCACAATTTTCAACAACGCAGGAGAATATTTTGGGCACTATTGCACAGTCTTCCGGAGAAATTGGCGTGCTTGAAGTATCAATGCTTCTATTTAAAATGACAGGCTCTGGGACTGGTTCAGGAGGTTCTTTGACCAGATCCATCTTTTCAAACGCAGTCTTTAGCTCTGAAAAGCAATGCTGTTGAATGAGGGTCAGCTGCTGGGGGTCAGTATCGACATCTGGACTGAGAGCTGTGTTTGTGGGCTGTTGCATGTCCTGCTCTGTGTCGGAGTTTTGTCTTAAACATGTAAAGCTTTTAGTTTTTAGGAGTTTCTCAATTTCTTCTGGTGTGCCGGGGATTATGGGAGGACATTCTCCACTATCAGAGAAACTCTTTATATCTTGGATCATTGGACAATCCTCACTTTTAGAGCTCAATTCTAAAACAGAGGACGTGGGACTTTGAGCCTCAGAGTTATGGCAAACATTAATCAAGTTGCTTCTTCGTTGGAAATCGCCAGCCAAGATCTGCTCCCGTAATTTCTTTTTGATATCTTGCTCAACGCTACCCGTCTCTGGTTGTTTTACATCGCCTGTGGTTGACCTCTTTGGAGGAACAGGAGGCAGTGCCACACTTGACAATGATGCTAGATCTTTTGAGTTTACGTCCTGTTGACTACAGCTAGCTGTGACTGAGGTTTTGTTTTCTTTGAGCGCTTGAGAAAGCAGCGGCGTTGGATATCGGGAGCCTGGTGGTCTTGTTTGAGGATGATTAGATGAGCCAACATTAGCAACAGCCTCTACAGATTGTATGACGGAGCTAGTATTCTTTTGAAAACTTGGGCCGGGTGAGCATGGTTTACAAGGTTTTTGTAACGGAGACTTTGGCGATTGCACAAACAGGTCAGCCATATTAGATACCGCCATGATTTGTTTAAGAATGTCATTGCTCATCTCCCCATTAGCCCTTTCTGGGAACGTCTGAGAAGTGTGAGAAGTGAAGCCTTTTTGCTCGGACAATCCACAGGACTTTGAAGTGTGGGGCGTGTTGTCGAGGGTTTCACGTGGATTGTTTGGACAGTTTTGTGGGAGATCAACATTTGGGTCAGAATTAAGGAGGTCGAGAAAAGATTCTGGGAGAGCGGAGTTCAGTTCCATCTCTTGGTATGGTTTACACTCCGTCCGCTTCGACAAATGACCACCTATAGACTTTGAACTATTAAAGGCTCTAAAACATCGTGAACAAAACCATTTCCCATCTCTAACAATCGCCGGCCATTTCACCTTTGACTTTCTTCTTCGAACGGGTTTGCAATTATTTGGGTCGTTGACAGGAGCATCAACGCTTTCCGGAGATTGGTTAGAAGGATTTTGAAAAGTTTTTGTGCATGTTGAGTTTTCTGGCATTTCTCGTTGAATTCCGACAGAATCGACCTCTCTTTTAATGTTAGTTTTTGAGTTGTTCATACTTGTTGCTGGAATACGAGGAGTCATGTTTGAGGCTACAGGATTAAAAGCGGAGCATTTAGGGATCTGTTTAACAAAACCAACATTACTTTTAGGAAGTGGTTGTTTATCAGCCGTCATATGGGCCTGCGGCATCTGAGGCACCGGCTTTTGGTGGCCAGAATGAGAGGGACTCGATTGTCCAAACGAGGACAGTGGATCATTAGCTGAAGGTGATGTGTAAACGGGGACAGAACCACAATGTGCAGTAGATGTTGGAAGAGGGTTAACTGGTGTCTTACATAAGTTTAACCCCATAGGACTGCCCTGGGAATCATTCAGTGGAGCCGTAGAAGTGGCAGCTATAACAGGCCTTTTGTGCATTTGGGAACGGCCATCAGCTTGAACATGATTAATTTCAGAGGCAGGTGACCACAATGACATATTGTGGGCTTCAGCGTGCGTCTGGATTTTAGGTTGAATCACGGAATTGATAGCCGTCCGTCTATGAAGATGTTGAGCACTGTGCATGTCTTTATATGCTTTTGTGAGAGAGTTTAACATGTGATTTGGATTCATGGACATGTGTTCATTGGACTGCATGGGCATACTAGAAGGAGGCAAGTGTGTGGTTGGATGTAATTGGGAAATGTTGCTGTTAAATTGATCGTTTTGAGGCCAAGCTGTCTGAACATTTTGGCTTTTCATCTGGCTATTTGGTGCCATATGAATACTCGACAATGGATTAGAATTTGTTGGAGCTGGGATCGCCTCTTCATGACCTCTAGGCACCTGGGATGGATTGATGAACTCCTGTGGTATGGGTGCATTTATTGAAGTGCTACAGGGTTGCGCTTGTTGTGCCTGTAAGATTGCTTGTGAACAACTCTGTGGATGGAGGTTCGTTTTTAACTGAGCAACCACAATGGGATTTAAAACTTTTTCCATGATCTGAGGGGCAGTCTTGTTCACATTCCCAGGCAGAGGCATCTTAACTGCATTATAATCTGCATTATAATTTCGGACAATATTTGAGTAAGGAGAAGGCTGGATAACATTTGGCCTTACCATTTCTAACAATTGATTTTGTGTTTTGAAAGCGGGGGGCTTCGGAGTCAGCGGTGGACCAGAAACATATGTTATCCTAATTTCACTTCGCGGTATTTTACGTATCGCATACAACTCTGGGTGAGTCGTTTTTATGTGTTTGCTAACACTTTTGAAACAACTATAATTTCTTGTGCACGTTTCGAAGGGACAATGATATCGCTCTCTCAATACGGCCTCGACTTTGGGGGGTTCGGCCTTTTCATTTCTATATGACCTGGGCACATGTGGTGATACTGCTTGCATTGGTCCTGGTACGGGAGGTAGAAGGGGACCTGGCATGGATGCTTGCATGGGCGCTTGCATGGGCGCTTGCATGGGCGCTTGCATGGGAGCTTGCCTGGGAGCTTGCCTGGGAGCTTGCCTGGGAGCTTGCCTGGGAGCTTGCCTGGGAGCTTGCCTGGGAGCTTGCCTGGGAGCTTGCCTGGGAGCTGGCATGGGAGCTGGCATGGGAGCTGGCATGGGAGCTTGCATGGGAGTTTGCATGGGAGCTTGCATGGGAGCTTGCCTGGGAGCTTGCCTGGGAGCTTGCCTGGGAGCTTGCCTGGGAGCTTGCATGGGGGCTTGCATGGGAGCTTGCATGGGGGCTTGCATGGGGGCTTGCATGGGAGCTTGCATGGGGGCTTGCATGGGAGCTGGCATGGGAACTGACATGGGAGCTTGCATGGGAGCTGGCATGTTAGCTGGCATGCTAGCAGGTACAGGTACAGGTACAGGAGCAGACGCCGGACCATTGTGAGGATGCATGGGCGGTAGTGTTGGCACGGCTGCATTACAGTCAGGCACCTCACTGTAGTTTACTAACTCACTATTTACATTTGAAAAAACGTGCAACTGACTTTGTAGAACCGTTTTTTCACGCAGCATTTTATTTAGCGTTGCCTCAAACGGTGACGCATGCTGCTTCTGATATTGTTGGCTCGGCTTCAAACTCTCCGGTGACTGGTTTAGAGAAGCTTCCCCTATGCAGCATTCATTTTCTGGCTGTGAATGAACATGAGGATGTATAGTTTGACTGTCATGAATCGCCTTCTCTTTCACTTCAGCTTTGATTTCATAACGGTCCACAGTTCTGATGGGGGTCTGAGAAGCATTCAGCAAGTTTTCTAGAGTCTCTGGTTTGCCGACGCTAACGGTTTCCGCTCTGCACATTTCAACGGAATACTCTTCTTTTATTGCAGGCGGATTGCGGTAATTAGAGGAAATATGAACCGACGAACTAGTCTGAGGGGTTTGCAGTTCTTCTGGAGCAGAAACGTGTGGCTCTGATTTGACAGTGTGAGATTTTAAGTGCAACTCCAGCTGTTGTTGTGTATGAAACACCTTTCCACAGTCAACAAATTTACAAGTGAACGTTTTGTAGTGCTTTGCCTCGTGGTCATACAGCTTAAACGCCTCATTAAAAATCTTACCACAATTTGGAAACATGCACTTTGCCTTAAAATACCCGTGCGTTTTTCGGTGTACAAGTAGTTCAGTGTTTGAAAGAAAGCTAGCTTTGCAGTTCAGCTGAATACATATGTACGGCTTTGTCCCGCAGTGGACTTGTAAATGATCGCTAAGGTGGTTCACGTTGACAAAGTGGCGACGGCAATACTGACACACAACCTTCTTTCTCTGCAGTTCGAGGTAAGACATGGCCTCCTCGTTCTCTTTGTGGGACTTTACGTGAGCAATGAGGTTTTTGTAGAACTTGAAGATCTTTCGGCACGTTCCAACCGGACACATGTGCTCGTCCACACTTGAGCATGTAGCGTTATGCCCCGGTGAACCAGCACTTTTTGTAACACAGCGTTCAGTCTTGGCTATGATAGCAGCTATAACAGGGGCAGGGGTTTTGGGATTGACCAGTTTTCTGTTGGTCTTCATGGCGGTAAGTCTGTCTTTACTCGACTGTTTGACGTGTGACGTGACGTGGGGGTTCAGGGTCTCTTTGGAGCTGAAGGACTGGGCACAGATGGGGCAGCTGTACATGCCTCTGCTGAAGTGAGTCTGTGCGTGACGGATAATTCTGTGGCCCAAAAACTCCTTGTCGCAGAGCACACAGTACTGCATGTAGACCTGCCAGTTCCGAAACCTGGCCGAAATAAATCCCTTTTCTCGCAGCTTCTTCTGTTCCTTGTTTTTCTGTTTCTTGTCCATGTCTTCGTTCAGTTCGTAAGTTCCGCTGATTATTCCAGCCGGGCCGCTTTCTAAAAATCCATCATCATAGTACATTTCTTCCTCCTCAAGCTCGTCCGAATCGTTCAAAGTGTCAATGGAGGAAACTATGGAAGCCTCTGGTCCCATGCGAGCGAGGCAGTGGCGTTTCAGCGTTTTCCAGTCCCAGAACTCCGGGTCAAAAGGCCACTGCGTTTTGAAGACAAGCAGCAGCTCGCAACGCAGCGAGTTGGGGACCGCCATTTTTTCTTCCTCAAACTTCTGATCCGGTTCATTGTAGAGCGTCTCCACAGTGTAGAAGGAATCCACCGTCGGCTCCAGGAGGAACACGGTGAGCTGGCAGGCCCGCTTCACCTCCAGGTCATTGGGAAGCAAGCAGGCGATGGTTTTACACACTGTGGATTTAGTGTTTACGTCCTGCGACTCCATTCGAAGAGCTCGGATGCACATTTCAATACACATCGGAAGGCCGCCCTCCGTAATCTGAAAAATAGAAAAGACAGTATTGTATCCGCCTGAAGTTTTACATGTGAGAGAAAAGCAGCTTCTTACTGACCTCAGACTGGATGACTTTAATAAAAAACAAGATGTGGTAGACAGTTTTGGAGAGTAACGACATTTGACCACATTTGTCCAGAAAAGCATTCTCTGAAGGCTCAAGTCGCTTCAGAAGTTTGCTCCAAAACAACGTCAGTTCCCTGGAAAAGACAGATGTTTATAAAAACAATGCAGGGTTTGATATAGTTATTATTCTTTCACTCCATACATAGCACTAAGAAACTTCTACTGAAGCCACAGCTGCTGGACTGACAGAAGGCAACTTGTATGTGACATCACCATCACTCCTACCACCCCCACACACACACACACACACACAAAGTGTTTTGCCCAAGGACACAACAACTGTTTGGCACTTTACAGCCACAGCCGCACTGTTGGCTTAGCTTCATAGGTCTGGAGGGATCAATCAATCAATCAACTTTTATTTGTATCGCGCCGTTCCTACACAAGGCAACACCTCAGAACCCACATCATATCAAGCAAATCATAAACATTAAAATCTACATTAAAAAAAATAAAAAATATTGAAAACAGAAGAAAATCACAAGTAATCAACTCATTGCCTGCCAGACGTTTTTGAGGATTTTTCCTGATTTTCAAGACCCACAGAATATTGTGTGCTACGACTAGAAATCTGACTCTGATCCGATTCTGAAAGACTGGACTCACAACTTTCATTAGCAAAGAGAAGTGTGTTTGTAGCTGGTTTCATGGTAGGTGTCAATGGTAGGCAATGAGTTAAAAACCTTGAAAAAATTAAAATCATACATGGGATTAAAATGACAAATATCCACAATGCATTAAAAAGAGGGATCTGGCTTTCACATGAATAATAACTTGTTCCTCCACACATAAACCCTCAGTGAAAGAGGTCATGGACGTGTTTATGACTGTGGTGGTCAGACTAATCATCAATTGGACTAAATAAAACTGTCATTCATCCTTCGGTTTGTCAGAATAAATACGTAAATCTCACCAGGCGCAGTAAGCATCTGCCTCCAGGAGCTGTCGCGTTAAGAAAGCAGAACACAGGGTGAAGGCCGCCTTCTCGTCGCCGTCAGATTCCAGGTTACAGATCATTTCCAACGCATCCCGACAGTCCACTTTATTAAGCTGCAACAAAAACAAGCATTTACAGAGAGCCCAAAGAATAGATGAGGTACTCGTCCCACTGCGGGGAAATGTCAGTGTTGCAGCGCACAGACAGGGCAGTAGTGAGAGACACAGGGAGCACACACAAGATACTAAATAAGTAGTAGCTGTGTTTCTTAACTTGCAGTAAATGCTTCAAAACCAGTCTTTTAAATAAATATAATTATATGTAGTGCAGAGTTATATACTGTACATTAGAGCTGCACGATATATCGATAAAATATTGTTATCGCGATATTGGTACGTGCAATATCCATATCTTTATTTTTAACTAATAACTAGTATTTTATTGTTTTTATCACGTTTATTGTTAACTGGTATTCGATTGTTTTTACTTTGTGTGTATTTAAATGTGTTGATTTAATTTCTGTGCAGAACTTTGAAAGACAAAATATTGCAATAATATCGAATATCGCTCTAATGTCCAATATCGTGCAGGTCTACTGTGCATGAACAACAGGGTAATGAGTGGCTGTACCTCCTCCATCAGTTTGTCCTGCTCTAACGTGGAGCAGAGGCAGACCAGGTACATTTGCTTGAAGCCGGTCTTGCCGTCGCTCAGACTTTCGGAGCAGGTCCTCGCCAGCCTCGCCGCTCTCTCCAACTGCTGGTCTTTCATCAACTGTTTCACTCTCAACTCCAGCAGACTACGGCCTTCTTCCACCAGCAACTGCTCAACTGAAAACAAGTCATTTCCATTTAGGACCGACAACATCTCAGACTCACAGAAACAAAGGGAAAAAAATATGGACGAAAAACCCAAATTGTCAGACTTGCAGTAGGAAACGTAATCTGTAATGAGGGCATGACACGCTTCAATCTGCTGTTATAGGATTAGAATATCGTTCGAATACACAGACTGCACCCGCATCTCAGACAGGGAGCCTCGCCAGTCCTTGTTCTACAGTCTGAGTCCTAGATCTAGAACCTGTGTCCATGGGAGCGGATCTTTCTCTCCATTTTTGATCCTTCAAAGTCAGGCCGTATTCTCCCACGAATAGAAAACGTGGGCTGGGATTAAACTGTGGAGAAACAGGTTTTGCCATTTACTGATGGTGCAAACGTAAAAGTGCGCCCGGGGATCCGTCTCCAGCTGTTGACACTAGGCGTGGTCTGGACCGAGGCTGGAGGTTTTTACTTAGTGTGCATGTTTTTAAGTGTAATCATACGCAGACACTGGGAGAACATGCAAACTCCACTCAGAAAGTTGGTCAATAACATGTAGTGAAATGAGTATGTGTCTTTAGTTTGATTTAAGAAGTCAAAGAAATAAAACCAATAACTACAGTTCATGAGGCGTCCTGGGGCAAGGGAGTGTTCAAAATGTACAAAAATCAAATTAAATCAATGTGTGAGATCTCCACGTCCCAATATTTAATCCCTGTTGAGGCCGTTAGATCCTAGAACCAGACAAACAGTCACTAAATACGTCACTCACTCTGTGCGGGGTCGAGTTCCTCTCCAGACAGTAGGCCTTGCAGAATGGGGTTGGCCCAAACCCCTTTCTGTTGGCTCAGGGTCGAGAGCATAGAGAGCTGCGCGATTCCATTCGTCTGGAGTTTTTCATGTGAATCCTGAGCACAAATAAGATCCTGAAGTTATCACAGAGGTTCTGACCCTAATATATTCATGTAAGTATTTAGATTATGTTCATGGGGGTGAGTCTACAAGTTTTTACTTCTTTCTCACTCCAATTTGTGCTGACAAATTGTAAATAGACACATGAAGAGACTATGGCAAATACTGGTGCTGTAAAGTATTTATCTGAGGCTAAAGTATTTATCTGATGCTAAAGTAAATGTATCTGGATGGAGAGACGTTTTGTGGATCAATTGGTGAAAGAGAAAGTTGCAGACGGGTTTGAGTATGACTTCATTTTTGAAAAGAGGAACTGTCAAAGTGAGAACCAAATGTTTTGATTCTGTGCTCACACACGTGGTTCTCAGCATGACTCACTTCCTGTTTCATAGTGCAGACGATCGCACAGAGATATTTAACTGGGACCTGCGTATATTTACTGATATTATACTGGGAGATATTATACTGGGAGATATTATACTGATATTATACTGATATTATACTGAGATATTATACTGATATTATACTGGGAGATATTATACTGATATTATACTGGGAGATATTATACTGATATTATACTGATATTATACTGGGAGATATTATACTGAGATATTATACTGATATTATACTGAGAGATATTATACTGAGAGATATTATACTGATATTATACTGAGAGATATTATACTGATATTATACTGAGATATTATACTGATATTATACTGAGAGATATTATACTGATATTATACTGGGAGATATTATACTGATATTATACTGGGAGATATTATACTGATATTATACTGGGAGATATTATACTGATATTATACTGTGAGATATTATACTGATATTATACTGGGAGATATTATACTGATATTATACTGGGAGATATTATACTGATATTATACTGGGAGATATTATACTGATATTTAGGGCTGGGCGATTAATCGATTTTAATCATTAATTCGAGTTTTACGTTTAGGGCGATTTCTTTTTTTAAAAATTCGATTTTTATTTTCTCCATCGCAGAACTACAGCGCTAACGCGCTAACCGCGGGTCTATGGTGTTGAGCAGTCATTTTGAAGCTAACCTAATGCTAACAGTCTCCCTCTGGCCTGATGCTCGCTCTCACAGTTGGTGCTGTTGCAATAACACTTCAAACATTCAAGAATCAGACTTTATTTAATCGCCAAAACACACACACACACGCACGCAAGCCCCGGTCGCTATGTTCGTACGCCATGTTCGTACGCCATGTTCGTACGCCACATCTTTCACGCTCTCTCACGCTCGTTATTCCAAAGCGCACTCCCGTGTCCGTGGCGCGCACACACTCGTGTCCCACTGAGCCGCTGCACTTTGGGGAAAGACACGTCTCACACATTGCTCTCATTGCTCTGATACAAACAACGTGTTCCCCGCTGTCTGTTAGCTACAGTAGCTGCTACAGTAGCTGTTAGCTACAGCATCAGAATGTAAACAGGAAGCTCGCACAATGCGGGAGTCACTGAAGTTAGTATTAGCGCCACCAGCTGGACCGAGCGTTGTACTACAGCACAGTTACTCAGGCACAGTTGAAAGAACAAGCATGAAAACCCGAGGAGGCTTTTGGAAAAGACTGACTGTTACAACATTTCTACTTTGAGTAATCAGTTTTAAAAATGTGATATTTCATGTAAATAATGCATGTGTTTAATAGGATTGATATATTTGCGATGGGCCTTGTTTGTGTGATTTAAGTTATTTTGAAGGTGCATAGTGTCATTGTAAGTGAAGTTATTATAAAACTGTTAAGCTACATTTTCACTGTTTACAATGGCAGAGCCATCTCGTTTACAAGCATGTTTTAAGGCTTAATTCCTGTTACACTTATGCTCCATGGGGATTTAGATTAAGCTGCATAAAGGAAAATCTATTTCTTTGTCAGTTGTAGTTTGTTTTTAAATAGAAAAAAATAAATCGATTTAAAATCGAAAATCGGATTTGGTGTGAAAAAATCGGAGATTTTTTTTTTTTGCCATATCGCCCAGCCCTACTGATATTATACTGGGAGATATTATACTGATATTATACTGGGAGATATTATACTGATATTATACTGGGAGATATTATACTGATATTATACTGGGAGATATTATACTGATATTATACTGGGAGATATTATACTGATATTACACTGGGAGATATTATACTGATATTATACTGGGAGATATTATACTGATATTATACTGAGAGATATTATACTGATATTATACTGGGAGATATTATACTGATATTACACTGGGAGATATTATACTGATATTATACTGGGAGATATTATACTGATATTATACTGAGAGATATTATACTGATATTATACTGAGAGATATTATACTGATATTATACTGAGAGATATTATACTGATATTATACTGAGAGATATTATACTGATATTATACTGGGAGATATTATACTGATATTATACTGGGAGATATTATACTGATATTATACTGAGAGATATTATACTGATATTATACTGAGATATTATACTGATATTATACTGAGATATTATACTGATATTATACTGAGAGATATTATACTGATATTATACTGGGAGATATTATACTGATATTATACTGAGAGATATTATACTGATATTATACTGAGATATTATACTGATATTATACTGAGATATTATACTGATATTATACTGGGAGATATTATACTGATATTATACTGAGAGATATTATACTGATATTACACTGAGATATTATACTGATATTATACGGAGATATTATACTGATATTATACAAGGAGATATTATACTGATATTATACTGGGAGATATTATACTGATATTATACTGAGAGATATTATACTGATATTATACTGAGATATTATACTGATATTATACTGAGATATTATACTGATATTACACTGAGATATTATACTGATATTATACTGAGATATTATACTGATATTATACTGGGAGATATTATACTGATATTATACTGAGATATTATACTGATATTATACAAGGAGATATTATACTGATATTATACTGAGAGATATTATACTGATATTATACTGAGATATTATACTGATATTACACTGAGATATTATACTGAGATATTATACTGATATTATACTGGGAGATATTATACTGATATTATACTGGGAGATATTATACTGATATTATACTGAGATATTATACTGATATTATACTGGGAGATATTATACTGGGAGATATTATACTGATATTATACTGAGATATTATACTGATATTATACTGAGAGATATTATACTGATATTATACTGGGAGATATTATACTGATATTATACTGAGATATTATACTGATATTATACTGGGAGATATTATACTGGGAGATATTATACTGGGAGATATTATACTGATATTATACTGATATTATACTGAGATATTATACTGATATTATACTGAGAGATATTATACTGATATTATACTGGGAGATATTATACTGATATTATACTGGAGATATTATACTGGGAGATATTATACTGGGAGATATTATACTGGGAGATATTATACTGGGAGATATTATACTGGGAGATATTATACTGATATTATACTGGGAGCTACTGTATTTACTTTTGAATGCTATGTATGTATTCTTAAACTAATAGCGAGAGTGTTTGTAGTAGTAGCTTATGTATATGTTTGTGATTTTTGAACATGTGAATTACCTGGACACATGAACTGAGATCCTTCCAGAGGTCTTCCGGAAGATCCTTTAGTGACAGCAGCAGTTCCACAAAACTCCTAAGAATCGCAATGAAAATTAGATAATCATAGTCCGTGCTTCCAACGACACACATGGCGACAGCTTACAGTGCGAGCCGCTCCACCACCAGCGCCACGTTGTCACACTCCACAGATAAGTGAACAGACGAGTCGGCGTAACTCTGCAGAGCCGCCATGTAGACCTGGACCACGGGCAGCGGCTCCTCGTCCACACGCCAGCAGCCGGCGTACTCCAGCAGCGCCTACACGACAGGACAAGCTGCTCTTAACCAGGCATCAAAACAACATTCACAGACATTGGTTCTAACCCGTATGGACCAATGGCTCTATGTGTGTTTAATTACCCCTCCATCTACACCTACAGACTGCCCTGCCCGACCCGCCTGGGAGCAACTCAGTCCTGCACCGGACCTGTCCACGCTCTGCGGACGCTGCGTGGCATTGGTCCTCGTTCTGTAGCTTAGGTCCTGGGTCTACAGCCTCAGTCCTCGTTCTACAGTCTGACTCCAGGATCTATAACCTCAGTCCTCGTTCTACAGTGTGAGTCCTGGGTCTACAGCCTCAGTCCTCGTTCTACAGTCTGACTCCAGGATCTATAACCTCAGTCCTCGTTCTACAGTCTGACTCCAGGATCTATAACCTCAGTCCTCGTTCTACAGTGTGAGTCCTGGGTCTACAGCCTCAGTCCTGGGTCTACAGCCTCAGTCCTGGATCTACAGCCTCAGTCCTCGTTCTACAGCTGGCCCGGACTGCCATCGGGAGCATCGGGAGATCTCCCGGTGGCCTGCGTGTCAAAGTGGCCTGGGCCTGCCCTATCATCACGGTCTTTTTTTTTTTTTTTTTTTCTTTTAATTTAATTTCATCCTCACGGCCTTTGCAAACTCCTACCCTGGCTGGTGGCCTGGTCCAATGAGCAAGGCCCAGGCCAAAGCCAGTGTTGTGCGTGAACGAGTTCAAAAGAACGCGTTCATTGAACACGCTCATTTTTTCGTGAACGTTGAACTGAACGCAACACATTTTTTAATAAAGAACTTGAACGTGAATTAGTTCATATTATGTGTCATGAACGGCAGATAATTTGTTTTCCATTTAAAACTGAGTGAAATCTGTTTTCTCTTTTGAAACGCAACGAGAGAAAGTTCCTCCCTCCTGTATTCTCCGCACTGTTTCCGCCGAAAACTAAAAATTCCTACGGTTTCCACCGTCTGTGAACGCACCCCGACTCAGTGTACTTGCGGTGCGGCGCTATATGCTAGTGCTATTCATTGGTTGTTGGACTCACATGTGCCGTGATGAAAACACAGGGGTAAGTCAGTGACACAGGGCCGTTTACATTTGACATAAAGTATAGACACACGTTCTGCAGCGCATTACAGTTTGTACTTATGAGCAGAGATGGGACAACTCAGTTCCCATTGAAACCCATGTAAATCTTGTCTGCATTGGAGTCAAAACATCCTGTGCAGTGTACAGGATATAATATATATATATATATATATATATATTAGTGCTGTCCAACGATTAAAATATTTAATCGCGATTAATCGCATGAATTTCATAGTTAACTCGCGATTAATCACAAATTAGTCACCCATTTGCGTGCTGTGTGCAATTTCTTTTTTTTATTGAAAACAATGTGTAGTGTTATATTACACACTAACATTTGATGCAAAATCATCAATAAATGGATGACAAAATAAATAATTGGTAACAAAAAGCCCCTTCAATGTGTGTGTGTGTGGAGTGTGTGTGTTTATGGGTGTGGGTGTGTGTGTGTGTGTGGGTGTGTGTGTGTATGTGTGGGTATAGACCATAGACTGTATAGAAACATCATGGTGTCATTATGATGATGATAAACAATTTTTTTGTAAATTTTTTCATGTAAATACTCTATAGTGTTTCTCTGTTTACTTTCGGTATATCTATGACTGTATACTGTTTGCTTGTATTGCCTTTTTTATTAACCCCTCCCCCCCATCTCCCACTTCATGTCCCCCCCCCCCCCCCCCTCCTATGTGCCCTTCTGGGTTTCTTCTTTGGCCCCCTGTATCTCCAACTACATATTGTTTGTAATCTCTGTCTACAATGTATCTTAACTAGTCCTTTTCTTTGTGTCTATTTTTTTTCTGTATATGTGTTTGTCTGCAATAAAAAGTAAAAAAAAAAAAAATAAAAAAAATTTTTTTTTTTTTTTTTTTAATAATTATTAAAAAAATTAATGGCGATAAAAAAAATGACGCCGTTAATATTGATTTGCGTTAACGCGTTAATAACGCGATATTTTGGACAGCACTAATATATATATATATCACGTATTGTGATTTCTAGCTCGTAGTGAAAAAATATATTTATTTGAATATCTCGCAAAAAGTAAAATGAACTGAAATTTGAACTAGTTCAGAATTAAAATTGAGAACTTCGAACGTGAACCGTTCACTTTGAGCATGTATGAACTGAACTTGAACTAGTTCAGAAAAGCTGTGAACTGGCACAACACTGGCCAAAGCTTTACTGTCATTGGGCCAGAGCAAAATTAAACAAATGTGACGTCACACGTCGGCTACACAGCCAGGCCAGCTTAGCAGTGCACCCAGTGTAGCTTCCCCGGTTGAAATGAGTGGTCTCTCCAACTGATGGTTCATACACGTTTTTATTTTTCCTTTTATATGAGCTGTAACAATGTGATTTTACCTTACTACTTTTTTAACAATAATTGATTAGCTTGTTATAGTTATACACTAATGAACACTTAGTTCATTGTGTGTGTGTGTGTCTTTATTCTCACTAAACTCCATAAACGTTACGTTGCTAAGCAACGTACAACAATCCTTAAACGTCCGAGATTATATAAACAGTCAATATAAAAAAAAATAAAGAAAACAAAAGTTTTGACAGTCAATCTTAAAACTATTAAAAGAACATCAAAATACAATGACAAAAACCCAAATTTAGAACCTTGTTTGGCCTGAATGGATGAAAAGCTCCCGGCCTGAAATGTTGTCCCACTCCGGCCCTGTTCTACAGTCCGAGTCCTGGGTCTACAGCCTCAGTCCTGGATCTACAGCCTCAGTCCTCGTTCTACAGTCTGAGTCCTGGGTCTACAGCCTCAGTCCTGGATCTACAGCCTCGGTCCTCGTTCTACAGTCTGAGTCCTGGATCATTAGCCCGTCCGTCTGTGTGGAGCAGATCCCTTTCTCAATATGTGGGTCTCCCCGAGGTTTCTCACTTTTTTGCCACTGGGTTTTAGAGTTTTTCCTCTGACGCAGGACTGTGATGATCCAGGACACTTTAACATTCTACATGTATGACATTTATCAACATGTGTTCTATATTCTACAACATGTATGGACCATCAACATTCATGGACACTGGTCTCTCCCTATGGACCAATTCATGTGTGTATTTTTTGTGTTTTAATTGTTGATTCTCTGATCTGTGTTGGTGATTTAAATGGTTTTGTGAAGTCTCTGAGATGATGCTGTTGTGATTTAGCGAAATAAAAGAAAACATAGAATTGAATTAAAACACACACATTTTAAGTAAATGATAACTCGAGATTCCGCAGTGTCTTTGCCCGTCCTTATCACGAGGATAGAAATGTACGGCCTAACATGAGCACCCGGCGGCAGAAGGCTCACATCTCCATGGAGACCAGCTGGTGCCAGAACAATCAATAAATGAAAATAAAACCAAAACAAAAAAGGTTTTTCATCATAATTTCCATTGAATTGATTAAAGATACATAGTTCATAAAGGGCTATGACAGAGGCTCAGTTGGTCTTTAAAAACCTAATGGTCATGGGTTCGATCCCCCCATGACCCATGCCCCCTGCTCCCACTGATGTCTGCTGTCCTTGGGCAAGACACTTAACCCCACTCTGTCTGAAGCCCCCGCTGAAAGACCAAGGCTGTCTCGGAGCAGCCATCTCCCCGGAATGAGCTAATAAAGTAAAATGAATGAATGTGTTTCAAAAGCTAAAGTTCTGTCTCTATTTGTTTCCATTTGAAAGTCTCTGTGTATATATAAAGTATTATGTACATTTGTGCTTTAACTTTCACGTTTTATTGTAATGGGTCATGGACGATAAGGCTTCATATTTTGTAAACCAGATGCATATTTTTGCTTATGGTAACAATTGTTGAAGTTGGGTTTGTGAAACTACCCAACTGCAACTGTCCCGCTCATTCTAATGCGTCTCATGTATTTGTATTTGACAAAGGGAAAGAAAATAATCATGAATAAAGATACTCAAGAACATTCACACAATATAATCTGTCATTTTGGAATTATAAATAAGTCATTCTTTGTCGTTCTTTGCTGCTGCACCACTGGACATTCTGGTTGCTCTCTGACCGCTGTCGCATTAATTAGAATCAATAAGTAATTTGATAAAACAAACTGGAGCCATAAGTTGTAGTCTAAGGTATTTAAGTAAACGTAAAGACTGCTGTATAAAAAACAACTCTAAGTATTGAAATCAGTTCTTCATCTGTTATTTAACTAAATCTATTTTACATTTCATTAAATAACAGATGCACAGTAGATTCGACAGCAGTACTTCAGTGTTTTCATGTTATAAAACTGGACAAGCACAGAATATGACAATAAACAAGTTGTTATGATACACAAAACCAAAACCTTTTTACGGTTGGACCCGTTGTATATGTGTTGATTTAGAAAATATTGAATCGATGTTGTGCAGGATGTACAGGTTAAGACATGCTTAGGTTAGGTTAGATTACAGTCACACTAGAAGAGTTTAAAACATATATTCTTGGATTGTGAAAACCTGACTATTATACATGCAATTCAATGTTCAAATTGTTTTAAATATTTATCATTCAACACAAAATACAGCCGTAATGACACAGACTCTTACACAGATGTTTTGCAGTCGGTTATTTTACTTTAAAATATGTTTAGTTTATTTATTTTAGATGACAGGGACAGTGTACAATAAACATTAGCCTCAAAAGGAAAGATGCATGTACCGGGTTATAGCTCCAGAGCTCATGTCCACCGCAGTCCCTGGGCATATTACAGACATGTTCTCAGTCAGAGGTGTGTGTGTCCATGATGAAGCACAGACACAACAGTGTGTACGGTAGGTGTGTGTCCATGATGAAGCACAGACACAACAGTGTGTACGGTAGGTGTGTGTGTCCATGATGATACACAGACACAACAGTGTGTACGGTGGGTGTGTGTGTCCATGATGTACGGTGGGTGTGTGTCCATGAT